TCAACCACAAGGTTGCGTTGAACAGTAATAATAGAATAATTTATTCAACACTAAGGTTTCAATGAGAAACGCTTAAGAGTGAGTAAAAGTAAAAGTAAAAAAGTAAAAGTAAAAATAAAAGTAAAAAAGTAAAAGTAGAGTAAAATTGTGCGATTTTGTGCGATGAAAAGCCCTTGTTTTCCCCATCTTTTCGAGAGCTTTCGAATCGTGTAAAAATCATTCCTGTCTGAACTTTTTCCGGTTCGCTAGAAGGGGGTTGATTTTTGGGACACCCGATACATCCGTTTTGAGTGTTTGAAAGCTAGACATTCACCGAAATCCACCCAATTTTTCCGGTTTTAAATCTCGGGTTAACGCCTTTAAAAACTGCACTCTAGTTTCTCCAAACGATGAATTTGGCCCTATCACACCCAGATTCCGTACTTTACACACACCGCCTGCCCGAATCATTCCAATTTGCACTTGGATGAAACGCGTGTGGTGGTGGTGACTCTCCCCCCTCTTCTTCAGCTGCCCATGGTGCGCCGGGTCGGCCGCTTCTATTTGCCGAACAGTTTTTATGTCGTCTTCCCATGGGGGATAAACGAGTGGTTGGTGGGGGGTGATGGTGATTGCCCAGCCACCAACCCCCCATCACTAACCCCACACAAAACCCTTGGCAAAGTTTAAAGTCAAGGGTGAGGGTGATGGGTATGTTTGAGGGGCTACCTGTGGCGTGTGCCCGCCAGCACCCTCTGGAGAAGTTGAGTACCGTTCGGCTTTTCGTAGGGTTTTTTGGGGGAGTGGGAAAGTTGCGATCGGGACACTGGGATCGAGAAATGGCGCAAGAAGATAAAGAAATCATATCAAAGGTGAAATTTCAATGAAAGCCTATTTTTGTATATCAGGGAACTTATGGTACTGCGCTTTTCGAGCGGTCAGTGGAAAATTTGCGGTAAACTGTCTTTTTTTTTGTTCTAAATTTTTAGTATTGCTTTATTATGAGCTTTAATTGAGACACTAGGTTTATTATTTGAGACTATCGAATCGCGTAACAGTTTTGTAAAAATACCGAAAATGTCGAAAACTAGTTTTCGGCTCCATTCTCCTTTGTGACAAACAGATCCAAATCTTGTTTCTTGATAGAACAATTTAATATTGCACTATTTTCGATAAAATTGAAACTCTTAAGATATTTTTCGAGGTATTGTTTTGCTATTGCTTATCATTGCTTTATGAATGGCGTTCAAGAAATTTTTTAAAAATATCTAAAATGTTGAAAAACTAGCTTTTAGATTAAAACGCTTACTAGGTTTTTCCAAGATCTAACGAATGACGCTTTCAAAATTTCGAAAAATAGCGAAAATGTCCAAAACTAGTATCCAGCCTAGTTTCAAAAGTTGTTTGTTTTTGCTCTTACTTTTTTTTTTAGCTTACAGCATCATTTTGGGCTCACATTTAAGCTTTTATATTTTTTTCATGCTATGCCGAGCGGCGTCGCAAAAATTATGGGTCAACCAAACGGAAATGTCGAACATTTCGGGAACTTCCGGCTGAGGGGGACGAGGAAAAGTAAAGTCCCGAACCGAACAACTTCCAAATTTTCTTACTCTTAGGTAATGAATTTATTTTCGTGTTTTGTAGTTCTTACAAGGAGTGCTTTTTTTGAGTCATCGGCAAAACCTTACGAGACCTAGCTCATTCGATAGAGAATTCGATTCTGAACAAAACCCCGTTGTTCTTTTTTGCAGAATGGCTATCCCTGATTTTATAAAATTGTAAAACTGCACCCAAAAGCCTCTCTTTTGGCTCGAAAGGCACTCATGGTAAGAGCGGTCGCTAGTATTTTAACTTTATAAAATCAGGGATAGCCATTCTGCAAAAAAGAACAACGGAGTCTTGCTCAGAATTCATTCTCTATCGAATGAGCTAGGTCTCGTAAGGTTTTGCCGATGACTCGAAAAAAAGCACTCGTTGTTAGCCATCCGAAACCCTGGAGAGCGCCTTTTGCAGCGTAAGTACACAGATTCCTTGCAGCGGACCTCTTCCCGCCGCACAGGCCAATCTCTGACCGACCGCGCGTTGCAACCGCGCTCTCTGAAGATTACGAGTGTGCTCGCCCCCTTGTCTCCCATCAGGTGTTCGGATTGTCCGGAAGGTCGTGGGGAATCCCTCAATGCATAACCAGTCAAATCCACTCAAAGCGACACACTTTTTCACACCAGTACTCCCGGATGTTCCGGGGGCCAAAGGTCTGTATTTGCCGTGCACCTTGAGGAGGTGGATTATGACATCGTTGCGATGGGCTGGTTGCAAGAATGATGTCGTTGCGAGTCTAGGGGGCAAATTTAATGCCAACTATCAATGGGCTCAAGCAATTTTTTTAGTTTTAGGCAACAAAAACAATTTTATGCAGCACAATATCAATATTTTTTAGGATTGTAGGGCTCCTAGTTTGACTTTGTTAATGGGTCGCCCTGTTTTGAAGCAAGCTGGCCCAAGAGCCCGCGACAAACAAGTCGGGTGATTGCCATATCTCCGACTGTCACTTTACATTTGATTACTAGAACAACCGGGACCGAGGAACGAAAAATTGGTTCCCCCTCCCGAAAATCCTAAAGAACCGTTTAAGCAATGAAATGGTTAGTGCGCATTGCATAAGTTTTGCACCTGGGTCTTCTGCATGCGCGTTCGCAGCACAATGTTTTGTACTTTTCTCGGATATTTAGATTTTCAAGCAACAACTCGATATTTCCCAAGTACATCTCCACCCAAAAGCTCCTCGAACGCTTCCGGTCCCCCCCCGAACTTTTGTACTCGTCAAGAGCACCTGCTCACTGTTGTGCCCGGTTCCAGACAAAATACCCCTCCCTGCCCCTCCGGCCGCCGGTACACAAAAAAGGTGCGAAAACGGTACCAGTTGTATCACCGGCGAGGATGGCGGTGTATATTTGCGCATATTCCCCGTGCGGCTCAACAGTCAATCGAGTGCGGGCCATTGTTTGGAGCGCGCAAATACAACCCGTCGACAAATAGAAGGTAAAAGAAACGGACGGACCGACAGATAGAGGGGACAGAGCGACAAAGAAAAACGACAAACTGAGCCGATTCGGGGGAGCCAGAAACGGACCAGTAACCCCCTTGTATCGGCATGAAGATATGAGGGGCAGGCGTCAATAGGTTGACCCGGTACTTGTACTAGTTGAGGTGTAGGCAGGTCATAACAATACCCTTAGAGATAACCGGATGGTTAGACTAAAGATCAGAATAGGCATAGGTGGTGTTTTCAATAAGCGCCATGGTAAAATCCGGAAGCACGCTTGTTTTTTCCATCCGCTAGTCAGGAGCGGCTTTCTCAGGCATTGGTTTTCGGCTTCACAATTTGAGTAAAACCTGCGGGAGGCTCAGCCCGGAATTTTTGGAAATCGTAGTCTTTTCAGCAACGCTCTTATCCAAGGTTAGTCCATCCACACCCCGCATGTATGGTTCTTTAGCGTAAATTGTTTTGTTAATTAACATCGACTAGGCGAGATAAGACACTTGTTCAGAAAATTCCCTTCCACAGGATCGTTTTCTAAAATTGCAAAATTCCTCTGGTTAAAAAATTACAACAGTTTTTGACGCCCAAGTTACCGAAAATTCCGTTTTATACTCCTTCAAAAAAATTCCTCGAAAATTTTTGCGTGCAACAGATGCCAAACATTGGAACAAAAAAAATTGTCCGCTATCAAATGGGCTGCCTCACCGACCTCTCGAAATCGTCAAACTCCGAAAGTTGGCCAATTAAAAAAACACTTGTTCGAGCATACTGCTTCCGGAGCGTGGGTAGGAGATAGATTCGGACGTTCGTTCCGATTCGCTCTGGAGGCGTTTGGTTTTAAATTAATGTTAATCAATTTTTAAATTAATTAAATTAATTCTAAACTTAAATATTAAAACTTTTAATGGAAAAAGCCGCTGCGATTCCCAAAAATTCGAACCTTGCAGGGTCGACAAAACATCTGCAACACTTTGGCACCAAAAATCACACTTTCTCTCACCCACACACGCTCAAATCAGCAAAGAAAGCGTGGCACCAAGTGTAAAGAGGTTGGTGCTGTAGGGGCCAAAAGACTTCTGAGTTTTTCGCCCCTTTCTTTGCTCATTTCCCCCCTTTCTTTTCGGGCTCTCCACCCGCGGGGGTGCCAAGGGTTTACCAGTAGCGCTGAGGAGGGTGCCCCCCCTCATCGCCACCTTCAACCCATGGCGGTGTTTGTCGGTCTGTTTGCGTGTTTGTCGGTAGCAAACCAGCCCACCGCCAGACGCCCGGCGACACAAAAAGAGCGCGCGGAATTTGCGCTGCATTTTTTTTTGTAGGGTTAGAGAGGCAGGAGCTAGAAGAATGTGAAAAAACTCTCTAGGGACTGGTGCATTTTTTCGGCTAAGACTTTAAAGGGGGCTCCGAAATCGGTTCCTTTGGCAAATAACCAGCTGCGAGCGCAACGCGACCGCGCCGCATGATCTTCTGCCCCTGCTTGGACGTAAAAACGCTTGAATTCGAAAATTCTGTAGCCATTTCGGCTATCCTCATCGAATTTTTATCATTCTTGACTTTGTAATGATGAAAATTGATCAGAGAAGCATGGAGATCGAGGGATTGAGTGTCTGACAAGACATTACGACATTTAATCGCCGCCCACTCAAAATGCTGTTTTCGCCCCGGAAACATTTCGGGTTTACTCTAATATTTTATGGGTTTTTTTTGCAACTGAATAGCTTTTCAGGTACTTCTCGGCATTGACCCTTTCGTGTCTTGACCAGTATGTGCAATCCCCGCACACACGAATTTTTACTTCCCAAGCCCCTTTAAAAAATATTTTCCCCTTAGGAAGGGTTTCACATTTTGACTAATAATATTATTGCCTCATGAAAAGAGCTGAATTTTTAGTTTCTTACTAAATTTTTTTATGACGAGGTACAACCTTTCAAACAGTAGAGATCATGAAATGGCAGAAATCACAGAACAACGAGCAATAAATTTAGCGATTCGGATGATTCATCATCGCCGACTGATAAAGAAAATAAGCGGTATAGTAGCCCATCGCAACCATTTGGGCAAAGTCCATCGTCCATAGAAACATCATGCCGATCTGGGCAGCGATGCTGGATTCCTTTTTCCAAACCGTGCATGCGCCGATCGCGAAGTGAGCGATGGCGAGCAAGAGGCAGAAGAAGGCTTCTGAAATTGGTAATTTGTTAAAGAGACCGAGAAGGTGAGGGATAGGGCGAGATAAAGAGAGAGCGAGATAGGGAAAGAGGGAGAGAGAGGTAGAGAGAAAGAGGGGGGTAGAGAAAGAGCGGGAAAGAGAGGGATGGAGAGCCAGAGATAGAAAGAGAGCGAGAGATAGAGAGAGAGAACGAGTGAGAGAGAGACAGGGAGCGTGTGTGAGAGAGATGAGAGCGAGAGAAAGAGAGCGAGAGAAAGAGAGCGAGTGGTAGAGAGAGCGAGAGAGAAAGAGACAGAGAGAGCGAGAGCGAGAGAGAAAGACAGAGACAGAAACAGAGAGCGTGAGTGAGAGAGATATGAGATAGAGAGATGAGATCGAGAAATGGAGATAGAGTGGGAGAGAGAGAGAGACAGAGACAGAGAGAAAACGAGTGAATCAAACGCCAGAGAATCTATTATCATAATCACAACTAATCTAGATCTTGAATTTCAAAACTTACGGATTACCAACGGGTGGAAAAATTCCTTCGAGGCTTGGTAGTACACAAACTTGGGCTGGGGTATCTTCAAATTCTTAGCGTTCAGCCACGGATTCTTGACTCCCTTCTGCCCTTGCAGCGGGATAATCTAAAACATTAGTCTTACAAATCGAATTTGGATGGTCGGAAAAGTTTCAAAGTTTGTGCTAACATTTGCGAAAAGGATAAACTTTCCGAAAGATAAGTGAAAATGCATCACTCCGAAAGATGTTAGATACCTCATTTAAGTTAAGCGGCCGCAAACACCCGGCGCATTTCAGCAGCCCGGCCATCTTCTTGGCCGCAAATTCGACAAGTCCCCGCATGCAGCTCGCGCAGAATAGATGACCACACGTGGTGACGACCATGATTCCCGGATCGCAGTCTTCATAGCAGACTCCGCATTCGAGGCTGTAAAAGGTAGATTAACGTGGCAAGGAAATGTGACAATCGACGCTTATGTCAAAAAAATCTTTCTCCCTCTCTATCCCTCTCTCACTCTCTCTCTCGCTCTCTCTCTCGCTCTCTCTCTCGCTCTCTCTCTCGCTCTCTCTCGCTCTCTATTCCTGCCTTCCTGCGCTTTTGTACAACCTCAGAAACTGAGCTCCGAGGTAAAAAAACTTACCTGACGCCTTCAGAAGCTTCCGCAGCAGGTGGGGCGGGGACTGGATGAATTTCTGACATTTTTGACGTTGGCATTCAGTCAGTTATTGGCAGTCAGGAGTGCAATTCAATTACTTGCCAGGATCCAAACGGATGAGAAACGCAATCAGCAACATTCTTCCTTCCTGCATCTGCAAGTATCTTTGGGGCGCCAGCATCTGCTCCCCGATCGCTAATCCGGTAATTTCACCGCCGAAGGGTAGCGGCGATCCGAACTTATAAGCGAAGATCGATCGTTAAGGGATAGAGAAAGCGGGAGAGAGAGAGCGAGACAGAGAAAGAGTTCGAGGGGGCGTGAGTGTCATAAGTAGCTCCAAAAATATCTTGAAATAATCGAATTAGCTTGTAATATGCTAAAAAGATCATGCTGCCAAGTGCCTCAATCTCTCTTTCGCTCTCTCGCCCTCACTCTCTCTCTCGCTTTCTCTCACTCCCTGTCTCTCTCTCTTCTCTCCCTCTTTCTCTCTCTATAGCTCTCTCTCATTATCTCTCTCTTGCTCTTACTCTCTCTCTCTCTCTCACTCTCTCTCTCTTTCTCTTTTTCTCTCGCTATCTCTCTCTCTTTCACTTGTATCGCACTCTAACTCCTTCTACGCTTCCCGTTAGTTACACATCCTTTACATGATGATCTTCTTTACTTTTAAGAAATCTTTATCGACATCATAGTAAAGGTCCGGACGGAATGGCAACGGTAGTATGAGGTTCGGATTAGATAAAGAAACAACACAACAAATTGTAAAAAGAAGACGAATAAAGGACTATCACAGCTCAACGGTTTTGCGGGTACAGCCTGACCGGCCCGCGCAGGCAAAATTTTCGGCAAATGTAGGCTTTTCGGGTCATTACAATCAATTGGACGGCATCCATCACCCAGAGACCCAATAAGGCCGCCCGTTCCGCCTTGTCAACCTCGCCCGCGTAGGCGGTGTGCCCGATGATGAGACAGTGGGCGAAGGCGAGGAAGCCGAACACGATCGAGCCTGGAAGGTGGTTTTGAGTAAATTATTTTCGTAATTCGCAGGGCATGGTGGCAGAGATTCTGTGCGGAAGTATTCGATGGATGAGGGACAGGCTAGCAGACCTCCATTGAGGGTTTTAGAAGAAGTGGACAGCAAGCTGACAGAGATCCCTTGTGAATCTTAGGGCGGTGTGGTGGCAAGCTAGCAGCGCTTCTTTGAGCCGCTGGACGAAGGCCGGGGTAGGCTAGCAGAGACCTTATTCTTAGAAGACGCATAGTGGCGGGCTGGCAGAGGTTCTTTGAGGAAACTTGAGCGTTCGAGGGGCGGCCTAACAGAGATCCTCTATGGATGGGGGGCGTGCTAGTACAGATTTTTTTGTGGGTACTAGGAGAAGTCAGTGCAGGCTAGCAGAGAATATTTGAGGAATAGCCGGTGATGCAGGGGCACACTAGCAACGATTCTGGAGAAATCGTGGTGCTTGAGGGGCAGGCCAGCAGAGATTCCTTGGGAAATCGCGGGGGTCCCGGGTGTAAGCTATAAGGCAGGCTAGCATCGGTTTTTTTGAGTAACTGGCCGGGGGCCGGGGCAGGCCAGCCGAGATCTTTTAAGAATCGCGTGGTAGCAGGGGCAGGTTAGCAGAGATTCTTAGAGGAGCTAGAAAATTTCCATAAGGCAGGCTAGCAGAGACGTTTGATAAAATTGATCTAAAAAAACGTACTGCCCATCATATTCCAAAAGAAGTCGCGTGGTACTTGAAAGTATGCGTAGTTCGATGGAGGAACAATCTGCTGGGGCCACGAGTTACGGTTCTTCCACGGATTCTCGATGTCGCTCTGCCCTCGGATGGGGATTATCTGAAAAACGGGGTTTTCTGGATCTCTCTCTTTTCTCTCTCTCTCCCTCTCTCTCTCTCTTTCTCTCACCTCCTTTTCCTTCAGCGGCTTGTTACAAGTAGCACACTTCACGCTCCGCCCCCTCTTCTGAGCCGCGACTTCGACAAGTTTGCACATGCAATTCGCGCAAAAGATGTGACCGCATGTGGTGACCACCATGATTCCAGGATCGCCGCCCTCGTAGCAGACGCCGCATTCCAGGCTGAAAACATACGGAATTAATCACCTATTAACCATCTAGAATCGACCCCCCCGCCATCGACTAGGTCTAGACAGTTACGCGAGACTCCAAATAACGCATGAAAGCGCAACTGGGGAATTTTTATTCTATGGCATCAAAATTTCGGAGTTAATATCTATCTATCTATCTCCAAAGCGTTTGGAGCGTCTTGTAGCCGCCTAGACCTAGTCAATGAAAGGGGTCGATTCGCGCGCTTCTCTGTTGTTTAAGCCGCTTAAGTTACTATCTTATGTACCTAGAGCAGCAGCAATATGTAAATTATAGAAAACAGTTTATTTTTGTATTATATTCCTCACCTAACAACGCCGGAAGTTTCCGGCTCGTCGGCGGGCTTTAGTGGAAGGAATTGGGGCTCGGTCATCTTAAGAAATTCGCCTTTAGCGAATTTCGGAGCGAAATGAAATTGAAACAATTTAAGGACGAAACACTGACGATTCCCAAAGGACAGGGTCACCAGATGCGCACCTGGCGTATCATCGATCCGTATATTACCTGCACGCTGACATCTGCCCCCCGATCTCTAATCTGTTAATTGGCGCGGCGCGCCTAAAGAGGGGGAATTGGGCGCTTATTATTGGGTTTGAAGTGATGCTAAAACAAGCCAGGTCATTAGCTGGTCTACGCTAGTATGAAAGGCAAGAAATTGAGTCTCCGAGGCGATTTTCAGCGATGTTTTGAAAAGCTAGCATAGGCCATGAAAGTAGGGGTGGACTACCAAAAACCTTTTGACTGACCGCCAGGGCGATATCGATTAGTTTTTCAACGCTGAATCGTAATTTCTGAGATGAAGAGGTCCAGACGTCAGATCCAAAATCGAAAAACACCACTCGGTTTTCGTCATTTTTTGGATTTTCAGCTGAGTCATACGTGACGTGAGTGAAAACGATACTGTAAGCCTGCCCACCCGCAGAAGTTGTTCGCACAAAAACTATTAAATAAGCGTTTGTTGAAACGATTTTTACAATCAAAAAACACCGCAAAACGGAATTTTGTTTTAACTCAAGCACTATTGTAGCGATCGGGCGATAATAGGGATTTGCGTGGAAGGTATTGCATGCAAGCGAATCAGCAAACAGGTTCATATTTTTCCCTTTCTTCTGAAGGGTTATGTCGATGTAGATGCAATGCGAAAACAAAATCACAGTCAAACAAATATTTATTCGACAAAAAATTCGGGTTAATCGGTAAATCGTCTCAGGCCGGGATGTCGGGCGCCTTGGTTCGATCTGCAAATGAATGGTTGGCTTTTAGCACCCTTAAAGGTGAAGTTAATTGCGCCGCTAACGCATCTGTAGCAAATCCATAGCGGGACTGTCTTGCCCGCCCCTTTAAAAACAACAAAACTACCGTACTTTGTTGGTCGGGGAACAGGACGGCACTGTTGATACCGTAGTACGTGTTCTGGTTCAGGGCATCTTTGTCTTTTGGGCTCTGAAAATTTGGATGCGAGAGAGAGAGCGAGAGAGAACGAGAGAGCGAGAGAGAGAGATACCTGAGGCTCCGAGGCTGGCGGCGGCGTCGGCTTGCTCAAACTCTCCGCTGATGACGCGCCGACGGCTGGGGTGTTCTCGATTTCGCGCGTCTGCAGAAAAATCATTGGTTTTCCAGAGACACCCACATGTTTACAAACGACGACCAGATAGAGGGTCCCGCTTAAGTACCAGAAAACGGCGAAAAATGTTGAGTAGATTGACGAAAACAATATCTAAAATTCAAAGCCTAAAAATTCATACATGCACCAACCATATAGATTATGAAGTCGTAAAAAATGGACTGGGATTTGCCCCGGGAATACGCGGGATAATCGCTAAAAGCTTGATTTCGGCATGGAAATCAGGTATTCTAAAATTTCTGAAACGTTCTGGCTTGTTTTTCCGATCGTACTTCTGTATTTTCCCTGTATTCTTGTATTCAGCTTTTTTCTTTGTTAAATATACGTTTATCAATGTATCCATTTCGGGTATAACTTATTGTTTTGACTAGTCAAATTCACAGGTAATTTTTTCAGAGCCATTATTGAGCAAGAATATATGAAGCTTCTATCACCCAAGTGATCACAAAGTATTCTGGAAACGAGCAGGGACAAGGACTTTTTGGAGTTTGTAGTCCGTAGGCATGTATTCTCAATTCGTAGACTACAGACTACAAGCTCCCAAAAATTCCCGTCTTCAAGAACTGTGACCAGAGGTGCGGGCTAGCAAAAGAAATCAATGTCAGTTGAAAACAGCACAATAGCACGTAGAATTTTGTGAAAGAGTTGTTGCGGGTACACGTATGGAATCTGATCGAAAGACTCGAATAAATATGAAAAATGGGGTAGAATAAATAATAGAATTCAGGGGCTGGTTGTCGCGGTGGTTTGGAGGTTGCGTAAGTCTTCTTCTGCGCTGTAATAATTAATATAAATATTGTATAATACGATACCTACCGTTTCTAGCGTTTGATTTCGTCTCGCTTGACCCGTCGCTTCGAACATAGTGCTCGGCAAGACTGCTTGCAGGCCGGACCGCAGGCTCGGCTGTCCTGTCCGGAGAAGGTGCACTGGAAATTTTTGGTCATGTACTCTGAAGTTCTCTCGCTCTCTCTCTCTCACTGTCTCACTCTCTCCCTCTCTCCCTCTCTCACTCACTCCCTCTCTCACACTCGCGAGCTCTGTATCTCTCTCTCTCTTTTCGCTCTCTCCCCTCTCTCTCTTCCTCTCTCTCGCTCTCTCTCTCTGTCTCTCTCTCTGTCTCTCACCTGCCCTTGGCACACTGTCTCACATGCATCCTCACAAGTCACTGTGGGGCACGCGGTTTCGCACTGTCCAGCACAAGTCGTCGCGCAGGCTGGGTCTAAACATTCATAATAATGTCTTAAGACCAAAATAGAGCTTTTAATTCCATGCAAAACATACCTTGCCCGGCGCAATTCTGCGTGCACTGGACATCACATGGCACCTGGCAGTTGTACGCGACGGTGGCGGTAACCAGCGCGGCGACCGGTGTCGGCGCCTTTCCGCAAAGCTGGGCGCACGAGTTTTGACAACCTGAATTTTGAATAAAACCATGGTTTCAAAGCGCACCGCTCTGGCATTGAGGCGTGACGGTGGGGCACAAGTTCTCGCAGTCAGCCTGGCATTTTGGCGCGCATTCCTGGGATGCGCCGGCCTAAAGACAGTCAGTTAGCAAAGAAAGGTATAAAAAATGGATGGGATTTCATTTGGAACGTTGGTAGTAACAACATGCCGTTACGCAATATAATTCATGCAAAACCCTCGGATAGTGCGAAAAACGCTAAGAAAAGGTAATCTTCATGCGGTGAAATGGATTCAGTCTTCGCCAAGTTGTGGTTGAAACTAGGGCTTACGAGGCTCAACTATACCTTGCGTCACCTGGCAAAATTTTTATCGATTTGCTCTCATTTTGTTGAAATTTCCTTTAATCGAAATCTCAATGCGCTGAAATTTCAATTTACAAACTGTTTGATGAATAATCGAAGCGAAAAGGGCGTTAAAATGGCGAAATTTCGAAAAATTACGTTTAGGCAACATTATATTTCGACAAGATGAATTTCGACAAAATGAAATCAGCCATTTTATTACTAGGAAATGATTATCGAGTGTCGCTCTCACCTCAAACAACACATGCTGATACTCATGCCGATCATGCAAGGTTTCACGCGCCAACTCGGTGGGCTGAATTCGTGAAAACACCGGGGCGGCACTCGCTGGGGTGGATGGGTGCGAGGTGACACTTCCGGAGAGCTCCATCAGTGGTTGGAGCACGGTGTTGGAGCAGGACTGTTCGCAGACCCCACGACATGCAGGTGCGCAAGTCCCGCGCAAGTCTCGATCCCCGTTCACACAATTGATCAGACAGGACGGCTGGCACACTTGCAAGCATGCACCGAGCTCGATGGAGACCTTAACTGGTGGAAAGTGCATGCGAGAATTTAGTGAGCGTGCTTGAAAAGGTGGAACGACTCTGAATTCAGCTCTAATAAAACGACAGCTTTTAAGAATGTCTCAAACCACTCCGACAAACTACACCTGACACGATTGAGAGGACAGAGGAAGGAGAAAGGCTAGAAATGTGTAAACGGGACCGCAGACCCGCTACACCTAAACTGTACCTGGGCCATAACCTGTTGTTGGGACGGCTGAAGGTAGGTGGATTGAGCCTAAGAATTTGGCATTAGGAGCTGATGTAATTCTAGCATGCAAGTATCTTGGTACGACCCGTCCTATTAGGGCCGTAAGTGCTAGAAGTCTTACTTATAAAAAGGCGTATTTTCTATCATTCCGGCTTTCCAACCCCCTTCCGAGTTCTCGGAAAAAACTTACGGCTTGTTGTGGCTGTTGTTGTTGCATTCCGGAATTACAAGCAACTGTGCACTGACCACTAAATTTTTAGAAATTAGAAGCCGATGGGCAAGGCGTAAGGCTCGGCGTTTGGATGCTTAGGCTTAGTTTTAGGCTTAGGCTTAGGTGAGCTTAGCCTAGACTTAAGCTAAAGCTATGATTATGCTTACGCTGATCGCCAGGTTCTAGACTGCAAATATCCTACTTACCGGCAAATATTTCCGCAGTGATCCTGCGGCAACCGCTCGACGCACTGCATGTTGCACGAGTACTCGCACGCCGGCATGCACTGTGGCGACTGGAAGTCGGGGCTCTGGATCTGGTTGTTGGCGACTCCTAAAAGAGCTAGATGAGACGCAATATGCCTGATGATGTACCTGATGGCGCCTGAGTTTGTGTCGGGATGGAGATGGTGATTTTTCCACATTCTTCTGCGCAAACTTCAACGCACAGCGTGTGGCACTGTTCTTGGTTTGACTGAAAAGCGTAGTTGAGTTTTGAAGAAGGGTGATGGAGCGTCAAAAACCGGAAGCAAGGTAAAGAAACAGACTAAGGGGAGAGGGTGAGAATGAGGAGATACTAACCTGTGTCTGCATACATCCCTTCTCGCATGTATCCAGACACGGGCAAGTCGCTGTCGTCGGAGCGGTGGCCTGCTGTTGCACAGAGTTTTGTTGCGCCGTTTGGAGCCCAATGAGGCAATCCGGGGTACACGTTGGGAGGCAGGGCTGCGCGCACTGCAGCTGCTGGTTTGATACCCCAATCGAGATCGAGTGCACCGTGGGCGGGAGAGCCCCCGGTGTCTGGTTCGCGCCGTTCGTTTGGGTCTAAACATTCTGGTGGCTTAGGTTTTCAAATATATAAGAGTAAATAACTTTTGTACTTTCGAAACTATTAAACTGAGGCGGAAGAACCTACGCACACAAACGCAAATTTTTTAGAAGAAACGAAAGTCCCGTAAAGCAGGAATTCAATCAAAACGAATAAAATGTATCTACCTGCATAAGCGGTGCTAGTGAAGCTAGTGAAGCCGGTGGGTTATTGCTGTTGGTGGTGGTTAGGTGTTGTGGCGGAAGGACCTGATCGTTTAGAGGCAAATTCACGGCAGATTGACTAGGGCTATTGATTAGGACCGCCGAATCAGGACTGGGTTGGCTCAGCTGGCTCAGCTGAAGGCCCGGTCTAGCTTTTTGGAGGTAGTCCCAAAAACTGAAGGGTGTGCTCGTAGCTAGAGCGGTCGGGGGCTTCAGGATTTTTGTGGGTGCCGGAAGTAGACCTGGAGGTCGAAGAATGCTAGATTCAGGGTGTTGCATCATGTTCAAACCGTTGGCCAGGCTCGTCTGGAGCTGGCTGAGCGTGTTTGGGCGGTTTTCAGGTTGGATGCTGGGGACGTAGGCGAAGATTATCGGCCACGGGCGAGTTCTAGCGGTGGAGGGAATCGGTGGAGTGGGTGTCACGAAAGATTGGGGTGTCGTTTCTGTGATTAAGGGAGTGTAGGTCGAGTTGACGGCTAGAATGGGAGCTGTGGTGGTGGTGATACTACCAACAACAGGTGCCGGACTTGATGTCGTTTGTAGCGCTGCGGCAGCTTCCAGGATTCCAGTCTGAGGACCCAGATTCGTCAGGTTTTTGACCTGTGGACTCTCCGAAATCATTGGAATGCTACTGACTACTGTCGAAGGCTCCGAATTTCCTGATGCAGGTACCGTAACATTTGTGGGCATGGTTTCTCCACCCTGCGACGCAACAGTAGTAGCTTGCGATGCAAAGGCACTTGACGCAGGAACGGTAGTGCTTGCCGGTATTCTAGAAATAGAAGGCAGATTAACGGGGGTTAGCGTAGAATTAGTAGGGCTCGTTGTCGTTACTTCCATAAGTGCAGAGTTTTCTGAATCAGTCGACACCCCATCGTCATTAAACAAATCCATCGAATCCTCCGGAATTTCCTGATCTGCTGGAAGCCGAATGACGGAATTCGGTCCCACAGTCGTTGTTTTAAAAACGACCTTTGCGTTTGGGTTCGCCGGTGGAGGATGGAAGAGCAGTCTCAACTTCTTCGTGAGGCTCTCCACCAAGTCTTGGTAGGGTTTCGTGAAGGTAGCGGTGAATAGCGGATTTGGCGTGGCGGTCTCTGTGACCGCCTCGTACTTTGCTACCTGTACCGTCTCAGAGTTGAGCAGTAGATTTTGATCGATCTTTGGGGCTGCAGTAGTTTGCAGATTTTCCGGACCGTCGAGCCCTGGACTCATAAAAATCGGGCCGGTCTCGAATATGTGAGTGGCGGCAGAATCTTGGGCTTGGGCTTGGATCTCTGGAGCTTCCGGGAGTCCACCAGTGTTTGCGTTTTCTGGGACTAAAACCGCTGGTTCAGGACTCTGGGCAGCTCCTGGAAACTCGGACGAAGGTATCGGTGGTGCCGGTGGTAGGGTGGGTACCGGATTGATGGGAATATTAGTAGTTAAAGCCGGATTTTCAGTAGTAAGCTCTGTGGGATTAGGTGGCAACTCAGGAGAAGCGCTTGGGTCGTCGGCGACCGGCTCGGTTAGCTGAGGATTAGCCGGGTTAGCTGCTGGTGCACTCGGCGGTACCTAGGGTTACGGTTTAGCGCAAAAAACGTCTAGTTTTGATTAGGAGAAGCATTTTTGGAAAGTTTAGTAAACTAAAATAAAAATGAAAGAAGTTGGAACCCATAACTAAGAAAACTGCGCACTCAAAATCATAAAACTAGACAACTTTTGGCATTAGCAAGCAAGTACACACCTTTAGATTTTCCTTTACTCATTAAGCGAGGCCGTTATTCTATGAATTTAAAGCTTAATTCAACGTAAAAAAACTTAGCGCGAATTGCGTTACTCCCTCGATTAGAAATAGCCATGTTTTAAAGGCAAGCAAAGCGCACCTGAATACCCTGGACGCACTGCTGCTCGCAAGCGGGTTGGCATTGTTGAGGACAGCTAGCGGAAGCTGTTGATGGAACCGTCGCAGACGTGACCTGCACCTTCGACTGAGCAGGAGCGATGACCTGCACCGTCACTGGCTGCTGAGATTGGATGCACTGTTGCTCGCAAGCGGGCTGGCATGGGGCCGGGCAGGCCTGCTGCTGGGCCTGTGGTTGAGCAGCAGTGAGGTAGACCGGTGTTTGGACCTGTTGGACGCACTGTTGCTCACAAGCTGGTTGACATTGGGTCGGGCAGCTTTGAATCCGCTGGACGCACTGTTGCTCACAGGCTGGCTGACACTGACTTGGGCACTGCGCCTGAGGCTGAGCCGGCACCACGCTGATGGTGTACTTCTGGACGCAGCTCTGCTCGCAAGCCGGCTGGCAGACTTGGATGCATTGAGGAGCTGCCTGGGTAGTTGTGGTTGTGACCTGTTGGATGCAGGTAGGTTGGCATGCCGGCTGGCACTGCGCTGGGCAGGTTTGGGCCGGGAGGAGCGTCGGAGCTGGGGCTTGGTAGGCGGCTTGGACGCAGACGGGCTCGCACGCAGGTTGGCAGGATGAAGGGCAGTTTTGTTGCGGCTGCTGCTGGACGGGAGGGGCTTGGACCTAAAAGTTACGTTTTCAGGAAGCTTTTAGGGCTGACTTTAACGAAAATGGGGCGCCAAACTAGACACACTACAAATTAGGAAGCTTGGCAACTAAAGCGCACACACTGCAAGCAGCCACCTATGCATACAAGGTGTCCCAAAAAACCCTCTAACTTGACGCAGAACTATCGGATCCGAACGATAGTGATACCATTCGAAAGCCCTTGAAACGGCGAGTTTGCAACACATGAGCCAAATGAACTCCGAAAAACCCGAAAAACCAGGAAATTTTGGAAATGTTTTGTATAATAGCGCATTTTAGTAAAAGATGGTTTTGAAGATTGTTGTAAATTCGCCATCATACGGGCTTTTGACGGGTGTAACCACAATTCCGATCCGATGGGAAAACCCGTATATTTATATTTTTTTAAGCTTTTGCAGCGACAAATAAGGTGAAGTGCCCCGAAGCTGATAAAGCGTACTCATGCCGAAAAACTCAAGCCCGTAGGTTTCAGACGCGAAAAAATATCTAGGTTTCCGAGACCTCTAAAGGACGTATAAAACTCATGATGGCTTCCCAAAAGCATTTTCAGCGCGTGCGACAAACGTAAAACGAAAAGAACATAGGCGAGAGCCAAAAGACTTCATGCAATCTTCACACCTGTATCACAAGCTGGGGCTGCTGCGGCTGCTGCACACATTTCTGATCGCATGCCGGGCGGCATTCCGAGGGACAAGCCGGGTCGACACAAGCGGGCTCACAGGCCGGCATGCAGGCGGGGATGCACTGGGCAGCGGCCGGGATGCGCACCTCCATTACCGTGGTTTTCGGCTTCTCGTCGATAAGGCCGAGGGCGACTTTGTAGCACTGCTGCTCGCAAGCCGCGGCACACGATGGGCTGCACACATGCACGTCGTCGGGCGGGCAGCCGGCCTCGCAACCCTTTGCGCACTGCGTGACACAACCTGTCGATTGGCCTGTGGCGTAGCTGGGCGGGGGTTGGGTGGCCTGGAAGCGACAGAGCGATGCAGGCAAGCAAAGTTAATTTTTGCGATAGTGAAGCTTGGAATTTTGACGCGAGCGAGTGTTTTTAGGCGTTTTTCAGCGAGAAACAAGCAACGAAGCGCAAGTTATAGAAATTAATTGAGCGAACGGCACAGGCGCAAGATTCCGAAGCCGAGTTTTACAGACAACGAGCAAAAGCTGAAAACCCCTTTTAAAGCAGTAGGTTCAAAGCAAAGCGAAAAGGGATACGATAGCTTTTGAAATTCGCAGAGCCCGAGAGGTATCCAGAGACCGAAAGACAAACTACAAAAAGCGACAATAACACCGTAGTTACTTGAAAATAAGACTCAGGATACGAGATTCAAACTTACTAGAGGGCTTCCGGCCGTAGCGGTCCTAAAAATGATTGTAAATACCGCAGTTTTCTTGGCTACCTTGTCGTGCATGAGTCCTGGCAAGTGCTAGCGCAAGCCGGTTGGCAGTCGGCTCCACGATTCCCCATGGAGACACACATTGAGAGACAGTTCTGATCGCACCGCTCCTGGCAGTTGGTGCCGTAGTATGGGTCGCGGATGTCGAGCGCGATCTGGAAAGTTTCCGTTTCAGATGTGTATTGAGTTATGGCGGTTTCGATCGGTTAACTCGGTGCTTTTTACGTAGTCATCAGGGCGTCAAACAAAACAAAAAATCACAAATAAATCAATATTACCTGAATGACCGGCTGCGGTGTCGTCGAAGTCGTCGTTACGGACGGAGCCATGGTGGCGGTCAGCGCCGTTTGCGAGCAAGAAAACTGGCAAGCGTTTGAGCAAGTCTGGCTGCAGATGGCCGGCTGGATTGATGAAGAAACCTTTGACTCGCAGGCGGTCTAGAGTTTTCGGAATTTACAGCACTCATCAAACACAGACCTGACACTTGTTCTGGCACGCGGATTGGCATCCCGGGTTTGACGACACCTGCTGGGCCTGTGGATTTGGCATAAATTGGATTGGTGGCTGGGTGGCGGCGGTTTGGCGGGCGGATGAGCAGGTGCCTGAAGAAGTTGGTACTCGTGCTAGAAGGGACCCGTTCTGGCGACTATGGCTCGAAACTACGCGCCAAGACCACACGCCAAAACGCGCGTGCAAACGTCTAACTTATTTAATAGACAACTGACCCGAGCAAATATTGTTGCACTGCATCGAGCAGATCCCTGGTGTCGTCGAGAACTTGTTGCACGCCGGGACGCACGCCTTCTGGCACGTCGACGAGCAGTCCCGGTTCTGCAAATGATGGTGTTTGATAGCATTATCAGAGCTCTCGAAAAACTAGAAAAATTTTGAATTGATCATTTTTGATCGATAGCTACGTTTTATGCTAAAACACGTGCTGAAACGCAGGTGGAACGTTGCGTAAAGTGTCCATGCCTGCGTATATCAAAATGATGTGCGCATTTTTTGGCGCGTCGAATAGTTGTGACCGAAACTCCTGTTCGTTTCAAGGCACTTTTCTAACCTCTTAGCTCCTTAACTCTTACCATTTGCGTGTAGCTGCACTGGTTGCTGCATTGCGGTTGTTGCTGGCAGGTGCATTGCGGCCGGTAGATGGGGATTCGGAAATTTGCGGAAAAACTGCTCGTGAATGACGGTTGGCAGTTGCAGAAAGATGTGCAGCCGCAGCCTTGTCGCTTCGGTCGGTCTACCTTCTGAAAAACCAAGTTCTAATGGCGCCAGTGGATGCTCAAAAAATCCGCGCGACTGTTTTGAATCGAAAGAGGGAAACGCGCTAGCCACGGTCATGAATTTAGCTCTGGCTTCCACATAGACTCTGCCGCGCCCGAAAAACTAAACGCGCATTACCTTGAATCCGCCTTCGACCATTACGTCATGGAATTGGCTGCTATATGCGGCTTTTCGCGGGACCGCAAAAACGTAGGCAATCCACAACCATAAAAATCGATTAGAATGCCTTGCGGATCATTTTAAGATCCGAGTAATACTCTGTACTCTCACATATTTGCTCCTGAGAAGCGTCTAGCAATTTTTGATCCCTCATTCCTACGTCCTCGTTTTGTAAAAACGCTATACTCCCCCCCCCCCCCAAAAAACGGGAAAGAATGGGGAAGTGATCGGCGCCGGCCATTGTTTTTTGTGGGGAAAGCTTTTGGTTGGCCAGACTGTGTCCCCGGGGCTGGGGGCCAGAAGTGATTGTTCGACGAGAGGGGGCCCCCAGAAACACACACACGCACACGACACCCGCTAATCCGCGCCCCTAGCGATTGCCTGGGCAAGCAACACCGACAAGGACACCTCGCCGCCGTTTCCGGCACCCCCTTCGGTGGTGTATTTTGAAGAGCACTTGGGCAGGGGATGGCGATGCCGCGGGGTGCTTAGAGTTGCGATGGGATATGGTTTGGGCAAAAATGGTTTCTCACCGCTCTCTTTTCCCTCTCTCTGTCTCACTCTCTCTCGCTCTCCTGCTCTCTCTTAAGGTTCCTAAGGATGCAAAACAGCAACGATTTACGTCGTCTAATGCGGCCTTTCGTAGTCAGCTAGATTTTCGGCAAATTTGTCGTAATTTAATGCTTACAGACGAATATTCGTCGGAGTGCCAGCAAGTATGAGACCTCATTTTACGGAAGGACAAATGCCCAAGCTTGATCGCGAAAACTTCAGATCAATCTCAACTATTTCAAGGCCCCGAATTTCGGAATTTCGAATTGGCAAAAGTTCCCGCTCTTTGACACATCACCTAAAAGCGTTTTCCCCTGTCACAATTCGAACCCTCGAAACTGCAGGTATGGCTAAGCTACGGCTCGTCTCGGCCCAGACGCGTTTAGCACTGCAGCAAACTGCGCGGGGTCACCGTTTAGCGCCCCGTCAATTTGTGCCGCTTTTGTCGCCCGGGGCCTGCTTGGTGTTAAGCGTTGTTTTCTAGTATTGGGACAAGGAACGCCTCAATGCTCTAGGTGGGCAGAGAAAGAGAGAGAGAGAGAAAGCGATACAGACCCACTCGCTTCCGATAGCCGGGGGCAAACAGTGCTTGCGCCTGCGACGCGGAGTTGGCGATTCACACCATGTCTTTTCAGCTTTTTCTCGGCTTCCTGACTCGAAAAAAGAGGAGGGTGACACAGAAATATTTGAAGACGGCTTCTAGGGAAGGGTGGGTGGTTGGGGAATTGGAACGACTAGTGTAAAAATAACTTGTGATGTTGGGGGGGATTTTCAACGAGAACATTTAGAAATACTTCGGCTGAATACTGGGAATCATCCCATCTCTCTCTCTCGCCGTCTCTAAATCTCTCGCTCTCTCGATTTCTCTCCCTCTATTTTGCTCTCTCTCTCCGCTCGCTCTCTCGTTCGTCTCCCCATTTCCTTTCCCTCCGGGGCGCCGGTTCCTCAAAGAACCTCTGCTAGTTAGCCCCTTCAATCTCAGACGATTTGACATGAAACCTGGTAGTTCTAGTTCCCCAAGAGTTGCTGCTAGCTTGCCTTAAGAATTCCTCATGGATCTTTGCCAGCTTGCCTCTATCGACCTGCCCGGCTTTCTCAATTTCCGAAACATTGCGACCAACCGACTTTCAAAAATTCCCTCCCGCCCTTCCTATTACTTTTTCCCACCAAACTGACCCTATGTATCACATGCAAATAGAACATTCCTCGACGGCCACCCCGGGTAAAATACAACGCATCCCCCGGGGTAGCCTCGTGTAACGTGATACCCCCGAATTTCAGGGATGCTCGCTGCGGAGCCGGGTGCCTATATTTGTGCGCGATCCGGGTCAGATCCGGCCCGGCTAAAAAACACATGCCCAAAAATAGGCATGGAAGTCGGGGAATCCATTTTTTTAAATCGAAGGTGATAAATCGGCCATACGGCAATATGTGGATACCGTACAGTTTAGAAAATTGCTGGAATTTAGAAATGTAATGACTAGCTGGTTTAAAGGATCGGCAACTGCGACACACAACGCACAAATTAGCGCCACAATACCGACAACGGAAATTCTGATAGGCAAAAATACCAACAACCAAGATTCTGATGGGCGAAAATCGCGTCAATCAAAATTTTAATAGGCCAAAATTAAGGCTGCCAAAATTCTGATAGGCCAAAATACCAACAACAACCAAAATTCTGATAGGCGAAAATACCGACAGCCAAAATTCTGATAGGCCAAAATATCGATAACCAAAATTCTGAAAGGTCAAAACATATTCCGAGCGAGACCAGCCATGAAAACCCAAGAGCCATAATCCCGACAGGGCGGTGAATCTTACAAAGGCCCCTTGCTGTGGGAGCTATCGCGCGCCCCTGCGCCCTAACTACGTACCCCACCCCACCGAGCCCCCATTGCCAGCCTATTTCTTCCTTTCCAAAACTAAAGTGAGGAGAAAGAACGTCAAGTAAAAGTTACGATGGGCAAATAACTATCCGTTCCATTTCAGTCAGTAGCCGAGGTAATATGGGGGGCTTGTTTACTTTTATGGTGCTTTTATAGGAAGAGAGGTCGTTTTAGCTCTGAAAAACTTCTTCCTGCGTAGTTTTGACAGAATACTACATTTTGAGTATTGCTAGATTGTTTCCGACCCGAAAAAAAACACTTTTGGGCGAAGACCATAAAGGTTTCCATAACAAATTTCCGCAAGTGGGGTGTCGTCATCGATTAGATTGGTTTCATTACTCATTCTATAATGAGATACCGGTTGTAAGGTGGTGAATGTTTTTGTGTCCTACTCTTCTTGTTAGCATTGACTTCGAATATTTTAGAATTCGAACTAATTATTGCGCAACTAAAATCGATTCCTAGTTCTACGATGGTGTCGTGATGCCGTGAAAATTTTAAAAATAAAGTAGAGTACGTTTATAAGGATCTCGCAAAACTGCAAACAACGCGGCTTTATTTCTTCACATCTTCCGCTTGTTCTTTGGGTAACAAAAACTTTACATGCTAATACCGCGCCTCAACATTCGGAAGCAACATCGAACAACGGACGAAGCTCCATTCCATCTTGCTTCGTGCATACGGATGGTGAAAGCTTGTTTGGTGTCGCAAGAGCTATCCAGACTTTGGTAAGTGCGCAATTCCATTCCAATTTGCCATTTTCTCGTAGTTTCCAATTTGTCTGATTTTTTACTTGATTTCTGTTCTTTTCTCCTCACTTTTAGTTTTTGGAGGAGGCAATAGGCTGGCGTATGGGGGCTCGGTGGGGTGGGGTACTGTAGTTGGGGCGCAGGGGCGCGCGATAGCTTCCCATCAGCAAGGGGCCTTTGTAAGATTCACCGCCCGTAATCCCGACAGCCAGAATGCCGACATATTCTTGACGCTAGTTTGAATCGAAGTTCGTTTTAGATAGATTTTTTAGGCAGGGATTTTGGTTGTCCGTATCTTGGCCTGCCGCTATTTTTGGGACGGGGGATTTTGGTTGTGGGAATTTTCGCTGTCGTGATTTTGTCGTTTGTACAAACTTGAAGTTTTTTAAAACAAAAGATTGGCGCGGTTTGGACGCTATTTAGAAGCCGTAATACATTACATAGTGGGAAGAAAAAGTTGCGCGTTGCGTGTCGGGCTCGTGGCAAAAAAGGCAATCTAAGGGTCAAAAATCTATGGTAAATCCCGCTCCTCTACCTTAATAGCGCCAAAAGCTAAACAACACCCACCTCTTCACAAATCACTGAAGCGAAAAACGTGCAGACGACGAGGGCCCAGAAAAGCCGGCGCTCCCTCATGGCCTGTGGAAGTGTGCGAGGCGCGCTGGCTTCTGCGTGTAGATCAGCAAAATTCGGGGGTGCGTCCAAGAAGTGCGGGGGCCTGGAAGGGTGTGTACGGTAATTCAGGATGAGGTAGAGAAAACAAAAAGAAACGGTTTAATGAGCCTAAAAATATCGTTAAAAAAGGAGATAAACGTTTTTATAGGGTTTAAAAGCTGTCATGGAATCAAATGCACAGAAAAAGTGCCAAATTCGCTTATACAGATAGACTTGGGTCCGGGATTATAATGTTTCTATTATTTTAAAAATTACACCATTGAGTAAAAACCGAAAACCTTCAAAAATAATGATAGATTTACGGTGCATAATAAGCGTTTTAATTTTTTTTCAGTGTCAAAAAAGCTTTTAAAAACAACTAAAATAAAAACTGAAAAGAGCCTTTAGAAAAACAAACAATGGCATACTTTTCACTGGAAAATCCAGAAATTAGCAAGGCTTAAAAGGCACCGGAAGTCCTGAAAAACCCCCGCTCCAGGGCGTGGAGTGATCGTTAACAGGAGCCAAGTGTAGAGGGCCAAATGTTGTCCCCTGGTGTGTCCCGTTTGGAGGGCCCGGAAGGGGGGTGGGGGATGGGTCCTGGAGGGAATTCTCCGGGGCGCTGCTTGTAGAGCACAGCCCTTTTTGTTTCGGGGCGCTTGTTCGAGAGGTGGGGGGAAGGCTTCTGCTGGGGGACACATTCGGCCTGTGGGCCCTTCGGGGGTCCACCCCCTGCTTGGACATGGAACCCGCAAAAAATGGCAACACCTTCGGGATTAACAAAGCGCGAGCGGGTGGCCGATACGCGCCTATGGACGATGTGCAGGCTCGTTGGAAAATGCAACAATGAGGCGATGTGCCATAGACTTGGCGTGCTTTTTCCAGGGAGAGAGATAGAGAGCGAGATAGAGAGAGAGAGAGAGCGAGAGCGAGAAATAGACAGAGCGTGAGAACGAGAGAGAGGGATAGATGAGAGAGAGATCGATCGATATTGAGCAAGAGAGAGAAAGAGAGAGAGAGCGAGAGAGAGAGTTAGAGGAAAAAAAATCGAAAGAAGCGGCGGAAAACCCGCCTAACCTTGCTCGTTCCATTAACACAATGAGCCTTCCTTAGATTGTTTTGTAGGCAAAGGCTCGTCCGTTGATCGGCTGCTCCTGCTTGCGCGCTGGCACCTTATCGAAAAACCACGAGAAACCCGAGATAAAAGATTTAATTTGAATTTAAAGTGGCTTGGAAGGGCAAAAATCGACGTCTTCCATCGTTTGGGTCTCGACAGCCACGTGACAAACGCGGACCATGTGATTCCGAAGTTTCGTTGATCCATATACGTGTTAGGTTAATTCAATTAAGCGTGTATTGGCGCCTCGCGTAGCTGTCTAGACTATATTGGGTCGAAGCCGGGGCCCGCCAAAGGCCCCGAGGCACCCCTGGGGCGTGCCGAGTGGCGCCTGGGGCGCCGCCCTATGATTTTTAACGGGGCGGGGGCGTCACCAACGGCGCCTGTGAGATTATGCAAATTTTCTAGTCTAATGTTAATTATTCTTTCAAGCGCAAGAGCGACGGACAGTAGAGAGAACCTGCAAATAACTATTCCTCTTGCCTTCAGACAGCCCATCAACGTAATAGTCAGCCTTTTAATAATGTTTTTAGTAAAATTTAGCTATCTTTTAAGTGGAAAAAGAAAAAATTGGAAGGAATTTTAGGCGAAAATTTCGAAATTGGAAGTGAGTTGGAAATATCGGCATTTTTCGCAGAAAAATCTATATTTTCTGTATTTAAGTCACATTGGTAAAGTTTTTACGTTTAAGAATAATACAACGTTTGGAAAGCTCCACTATTCTTTTCAGGACAAGGTCCTTAGAAAAACGGGTCCCCATAACACCCCTTCCTCTACAATGCGAAGGATCATGGAAAAATTATAGGCCAATCAACTAATAGTTTTGCCTTCTTTGATATTAGGATCAGCAGTCAAATCTGATTTCCATAATAACACCGCATCTGCTTTGCATCTCGGTTTTCCGGCGTGCCCCTCGGCACGCCCCAAGGGGGTGCCTCGGGAGGCGCCCTGCGGCGCCCGCTTCGGCCATATAGTCTAGACTTAGTCGACGGAAGGGTCGATTTTCGCGATTGACAAGGCTTGTCGAGCTCACTATCACTGAACGGCCATTTTCTTGCATATATCCGGGAAGCCATCCCTCGAGAGTCCGGCCAGACCCCCTCCCCGAGGGGCGAACAATCATAAACACACACAAACAAGCAGACAGTGAGACCAACAGACATACAGACAGCCAGATGGACATGGGCCGAGAAGATGATTGTCCGCACTCAGAAGCCGCCGGATCTGCCCTGTGTGAAGGGCCATGAGGGTGATGAACAAGGAAGACAAGACTAGAGCAAAAAGTGGGGAGAGAGAGAAGAGAGAGAGAGCGAGAGAGAGAGAGAGAGAGAGAGAGAGAGAGAGAGAGAGCGAGAGTTAGCGAAGGCAGACGACATCCATTAGAAGTGGACGATGTGCTCGAGAAGCGGGAATTCGGCACGTCTTTGTGCCGGCAGGAGAGCGACGTCTGTCCGTGAAATTTTTGGGATGATGGATCAGAAATCAAGGCTCGAAGGGACGCAGCTTAAAGGTATTGGGAAGAGAAGTAATCGACGCCTGCATTGACTAGGTCTTGACCGCCACAAGTAAAGCCAAAAAGACAGAATAAAATCAGCGCTCCAAGGCAGTTGCTAGAGATGACCAAACTTAGCGTTTTGGCGTGAAGCGTATTTGTCTAGACCTAGTCGATTTTAGGGGCGATTCGCAATCCTTCGGAGTCTCGTTAAAGTGGCGGAGACGACAAAATTTGCGCTGCTACACCGGCTTGAAGACAAAAGCGGTAATCAAGCACGCCGCCGGCGAGCGAGATTGAGCGAGAGAACGAGAGAGAGAGATAGAGAGAGAGAGAGAGAGAGAGAGAGAGAGTGAGAGAGAAAGTTAAAGAAAAGCTAAGTAAAGTAAGCCACCAGATAACAAAACCTCCTCTAAAAATAATAACAAAAACCAAAACAAACAACCCGCTTGGTTACGCAATCAATCGACGGTATCGGTGGGCGTGAAGCGCCGGGTGATGTGGATGATTCGTGGGGTGGACGCGGGCCGAGATGACAGCTTCCTTTCCGCACCTGTACACGGACCAACCGCAGGCCCGATAACCGGGGGCCCCAGGAAGGGCCCAGGCTGGCCGTATTGAAAAAAAGGGGATGGTGACTCGTGGGCGCAAACTATATGCTAGATGACTGGACAGGTGGCATCGGGATATAGATGATGAAAAATGTGGGCAACAGGTTATCATTGGGCGTATTTCAGGTTTATCGGTGTTTTTAAGGTATTTGGAAGTCGATTAATTGACCCACCCTCGTAATAAGCTTGAATAATTGTAATAAGATTTCTGCTAAGGAGGCATTTTTAGTGTCTGTTTTTTTTAGCTTAGCATTTTTAGCGTCGAAATCTACTAGGTTTGGCCTGTACAGAATTTTTCGTTAAGAAAGGCGAACTTCGGCGCTAGGATCTCCGATATGACGAGAATAAAGAAGTTAGGGTGCTCTAACGGGCGAAAAAGGCATGTATTGAGCCATTTTGTACGCCTTCCGCACTCTAAAGCCGCACAAATTTCTCAACCTGATCGTTTCGCAGATTCTGGAAGGAACAATGTCATGCCAGATTTGGCACAAGATCCGCTTTTCCTTCGATTTCCCATATCGCAGGGCCTTGGGGTCTATTAACAGCTGTCTTCAATTCATAGCTTGTATTGTTTTCTAGGTATTTTAAAGCATAGATTTTTATTACCCGAATATAGTCTTTGGAACGCCAGAAGTATTGAAAAATGTCAGTCCTCGATGTTCAGTCCTCGATCAGCCCTTCCAATAACTTTTCCACCGGTTCCAGAGCACCTAAAATTCGGCTTGGTATTTTTTGCCCTCGATTTTCTGTTACCTACTGTAGCTTTATTTAACCTGATAAATTTATGGCACATAAATTAACGAGCTTTTAATGAGGCTCACTGAACGTAAATCCTACAGTACGCACCTGACTCATGTAAGGAGTAACGTCGTAGCTGACGCCATTCTCGTCCGTGATCACCTCGCGATGGTATACCTAACAAAGGGTGAATTTTCATAACAAGAGTCCAGCAAGTTCTAGGTGGAGAGAGAAAGAGAGAGAGGGAGAGAGAGCAGAGCGTGAGAGAGAGAGAAAGTTAAACATGCTAATCGATCTTATCGTACCCTGGCGTAAACATCAGGGTCGACGCCGGCGGGCAGCGCGCGCGAATCCTGATTCCCGATGTAGCCCAGGCCAATGGTGTCACCCACACGGATACCTGAACATAGGTGTGTAACGAAATTTTTCTATGAAAAATTTGTATGTTTCCTATAAAGAAAATATTGTTTTGGCATCTAAGAATCAGCTAAGAGTTCAAAACAAAAAATTCAAATTCCACTGAAATTATTAAAATCCTGAACTTCAGTGGTCCTTAAAAATGGTGCAGAAGATACCGTAAACTATAAAAACATACTGTAACTTCGCGAAAATAACAATAGCAGGAATACAAGAGTCAATAGGTTGAGCCGCCCGTGACTACTCATCCCGAGACGACTGATCAACCCGGGAGTCGGCATTGGCGAAAGAGAAGAGACGGGGGGAGAGAGAGAGAGAGAGAGAGAGAGAGAGAGGCAAGAGAGAACCAAAGTCAGCAGCTAACGGAAATGAAGGCCACAACAACACCACACACAGCCCATCACTCGTCTTCGCGGTCAGCTGGGCAAGAGGAGGGGAGGATTTTTCCGAAAAAGAGGTGAGGATCTCAAGGTGAAGGAGGGGGAAGCCGGGTTATGAGTCTGGTAAGATGACGTATTTTTAGCGGTTTTGGACACTGATCAAGCGGGTTGCAAGGTGAAAGATGTAAAAAATGCGTGGTAAGAAAGTGCAAAAGTACCGTCAAAAAAAGGCAAGGACATTTTTTTTTTTTACTAATCAAATTCGCTCCTTCTCCCCTTCAAAAAAAGCCCCCCAAAAATCCCACCCAAAAAAAACCCCGTCTAACCCCCCCCCCCCCCCCCACCCCCCCCAAAAAAAAAAACCCAACCAAAAAAAAAAAAAAAAAAAAAACCAAAAAACCAAAAACAAAAAAAAACAAAAACCCACCCCCTTTTTTTTTTTCCCATCCAAAAAATAAAAAAAAAAAAGGTTCTTTAATAGCTAGCAAATGGTTGGTGTTTTGAGAATAGATTTCCGGCTAAATAGTGGCCGGTTTTTTTGCTGCAAGACGTATAGGTGCGACTTTCGTAGTCATCATCAAATTAACACACCTTATCCACGAAAAAAATTGGGTCTAAAGGGACTGGGAAAACCGACCAGGATTCCATCAGGCCATGTGTACTCCGTGACGTTCCAAATTACGCCAAACCCCCCCCCCCAAGTCAATTTTCCAAAACGCCACTTAACTAGAAGCAGTTAAGAACGGATTGACCTCGTCATTTGGCTCATCCTGTCGCGGTCGAGAACGAGTCACGTCTCGCCCTTTAAACCTCTCCCAGACCCTTTAAACGTTGCCTAGCTTTTCTCCCAAATCCATTTCACAATTTGCATACCATTCCGAATTTGAAGACGGCTGAGTCATTGGCGGATTGGCCAAGCCGGGCCTCGGCATCACCCCCAAAAGTTGTGGGCATAATCCATCCAGTAAACACTTACTCATCCCGCCCCGAAAGTCGACAGAGGGAGTCGAATACAAATACAAATAATCGGAATCGGTGGGCCAGAGCTTGTGACCACATTTTCCTGGACCTCCTCCATACCTCCATTTTCCACGATTCAGGAACGTCGGATTTACGTTTTGGTGCCGTCGCGGATTCAAAACCGCGATTTTCAGCGCCTCAATTTTTTTTGGGTCAGATACTAGATTTCAAAACCACATTCAAGTTTTATTAACGTGCCTTTAGTGTTTTCTGAAATTGTTGTCCAAACGATATTCGATCTCCACAAACTGATTACGCCGCATTTTATAATTTTTCAAGCGGTTCAGATGCACTCGCTGACCCTCCTCGCCTTGGCCGCCGTCTTTGGGGCCACCGTAGCCAACCTTCAGTGCTATTCGGATTATAACGCGAACGGCTTCCAGCATACGAGCAGCGTAAGTCTATTTCCCGAAATGGTTTCTAATTCCCGAAAAATTTGATGGTTTTGACGTTTTCGTGACCATCTAGTCCAAATTGAAAAACTAGCTATCAAAATCCAAATTACAAATTTCAGAAAACGAAGCAAACCTGCGGGGATGGATGCAAGTTCTGTAAGAAGACGTACAGCCAGGTGGGAAGGTTTTCTATGACTTTAAATTTAAATTTTCAGCTGGGAGGAATCAATGCCGCCGAATGGGGATGTGGCTGTGATGCCACCGGGCAGTCGTTCGAGATTTGTACGGTAAGCGGTCGCTCTCTCCCTCTCTCGCTCTCTCACTCTCTCTCTCTCCGTCGCTGTCTCCTTCTCTATTCTTCTAAAGTAAGTTTTTCCTTTTTCAGGAAAAGGGCAAATTCGACCGTTCTCCCAATAACAACAACCAAGTCGAGCTGAACTGCTGCACCGGAAATTTGTGCAACGGTGCCGAGCGTAGCTCGCTATTTACCGTACTCACCACCGTATGCTCGGCGTTGGCCGTCGCTTTGATGAAATAAAATGTTTTGTTAATCCAACGAAACGCAAGTCATCAAAAAAAACTGAAAACCAAGAGAAAATGGAAAATTGAAGGGAGGCCATCAGATGGTTCCAGGAAAGGAAGGGGCAGGCTAGCAGAGATCATTTGCGGTTTGAATTTGATTTAGTGATGGCTACATCGGTTTGTTCCAACGCGGCGAACTGGTTCCCGAGATGGCTCCACGGAATCGACTACTTTCACTTTGATTAGAAGCCGAGTATAGGGGATGACTGGTTCCGCCGCGATCCTCTGTGCACCCAGGAAAGGCACACGAAAGTTGCCAGTCGCCTTCACTGTGGTTCTCGAGTGGCATATATGGATCGAAAGCTGCTATTGCTAGCTGTACTTCTTGGAGTCGTCACCACTTATCATCGTAAGTTCAGAAAACCTAAAAGTAGACTTGAATAAGCCAGAAAGCTAAGAAACAGCCGTTCCCGCCGACTCCCGTTAGACCTCTGGACGGCTACGTAACACTCCAAAAGACGGGTGCGAGCGCGTATCTGTTGCGCGCAATTTTTGTTCTCCCTTCTGAAACGCTAATCATCTGAAATTGACGCGGAATCTGAAGTAAAAACCTGGCTGTCTAGACCTAGTCCATCCAACCGGTCGATTCCCGCACTTTATGGCGCCTTTAAGGAGCCGAGAAAAAGGAAAACATTTTCAGAATATCGCGAAGTAATCTGTAAAACGAAAGACAACCGAAACCGGGGCGGTCCCGACAAGGCAAAGTGTCTAATTAACATAAAAAATGAGGAGCTGGACCGCGGCAAGGATGGGCCGCTGGGAGCTGGGTGTTTTACGGTAGGTGAATCTCTCTCTGGCTCTCTCACCACCCTCTCTCTCTCCCGCTCTCTATAAGTACCTTTTTTTGGATTTAGGAAAAACCAGGCCGAGGAGAACCGAAAGAAATCTGCGACCTCGTCTGCCCGAAAGCACATACCGTCTTCGTGGCCCACATCGACGTCGGACATCGGGGTTGCTTCAACTACTACAACTACGAGTTGGAACAGGTGACTTCAATGGCCCTTTAAGACATACAAATTATTTTTCAGCGCAAGAATGAGTGGTTCCTGATGAGGAGCGGGGAATGCGCTAATTCTACTATTACTTTCAGGTAAGTTCCAGGTGGAAAATGGCCAATTTTTGCTGCCAATACTTTAAAGGGCTGGAAAGCGCCAGAATTTCGATCTCTTCCAGCAGCTAGGTATAGACAACTACGCGCTAAGTCAAATATCGCGTATATATTTCCATTTTTCGCCCTGGAAGTGGCCTTAAGGCTTTTGCCGCGCGTACTTTGGACCGTTGCGTAGCTGTCTAGACCTAGTCGAATCAAGGGATCGATTCTCGCGCTTCCTAGCTCCTTTAAAAGCCATTTTTCCTTTTAGAATTGGGTGCAAATTCGATGATCCTTTCAACGCTACCTTCAAATCCGACAATGAAGTATTTTCACACCTTCGCGCACGCTCCAGGGCGAAATTCGCTAAATTCTAAATTTAGGTAATAACTCGTTTAAAAGTATATTCCTTAATGTATGTTCTTATTTATGAAACGGCAATAAACTCACTACAAACTATAGAATCCAAGGTACAAAGACAATTACAAATTGCAGAGCAAAAAACGATCGATTCTAGGCAATAGTCCTGAAAAAACGCGCAATAATTCTCAATTAAATTTACATAAATTGCAGTAAAAAAAATCAAAATTATAATACATTTAATGGCGGGGCGAGAAACAGGCGGGAACCCATAAAAATACAGTATGCAAAAAAGGGTTACACTATAGAATTGAGGAGTTCAAGCTCAAAAATGAAAATCTCAAAAATTGGAGGGAGTTTTCGGCAGTTTAAAAACGGAGAAACAGTATAATTAATCTAATTTAATCCTCTTCTTCATTGAACGAGTGCCGCCGCGTCGCTTGAGGGCTGAAATATGCAAATGTATACGAGATTTCCTTGGAAGGTTAATAGACGGGAACTGACAGCTTGGGGTTGCGGAAGCGTAGCGTGTCGCTCTCTCTCTATCTCTCTCTCTCTCTCTCTCTCTCTCTCTCTCTCTCTCTTCTCTCTCTCTCCTTCCCCTCGCTCTCTCTCTCTCTCCCCCATCTCTCTCTCTGACTCTCTCGCTCTCTCACCCTCTCTCATACGCTCTGTCTTTATCTCTACCTCTCTCAATCTCTAGGTCTCGCTCGCTCTCTCTCTTTCTCACTCTTGACGCTCTCCCCCCCTCTCTCCCAACCGCAACACAGCCGCGACGACCGCAACCGCCCAGCTGCCAGTCCCCTTTCAATACCACGATTTTTAAAGGATGTAAATACAGGAGAATGTTGAGGGTTAATCAGAAAATGGAAGAAAAACCGATTTGGAAAGATTTTGAAAATATGTATTAAGGGCGAATTAAAGGGACAGGGAACTTTTGATGGTGCGGACGACATGCCACGGAGAGAGCCACTGTTTTATGCACAATTTTTCGTCGGCGGGCTCACTTTACCTTTTTTGACAGAGCTCAATTCGCCACCGCTTCAATGTTGCTAAATTTACGGAATTTTCTGTGAATGGAAAAAGGGATTTTCCTTCGATTTCCTCGACTAGGTTTCGGGAGCTTTTTCCTTATCGGGGGGGCGCGGCAACTTTTCTGTTAGGATTCAAGTTTGCTAGCATAAACAAGGCAAGACTCGCTCCTGCAAAGCTATCGAGCTAGAGCTAGAGCAAAGCTATTTTATTTCGTGGTTTTTGCACAGTAAAGGAATTCAATTGGCTAAAAACACGATCAAAACTACGCTATTCTAAATTTTCGAAAAATTCTGCCCCCTCCCCTGATAACACGAAAGCTCCAAGTTTCAGATCTGGCAGAGTTGCGCGCCACGGAGCGCCGCGAAAGTATGTTTTTCAAAAAATGTGGTGCCTTGCGTGGCCCTTTAACAAAGGTTTCTACAAAAAAGATGATCTAAAGGGACTAGTAGGTAAAATAAAGCCATAGTTCAAACCTTAGTTTTATGCCAGGAAATCGCTCTTAAGTTGTGATTCTAAAATGTTTCAAGTTTTAAGCCTAGTTAGAAGCGTTGCGTAGCGAGGAAGCGTTCGGGGAAGTCACAAAGAGAATAACCGGTGACGCGAGCTAATCCTTCAAAATCCAATTAAACCACCCACTTCAACTCGGAGTATCTTCGCAAATATTTCGTCTCCTCGAAGCTCTGGCGGGCAATCTTGTCGTCGGTCTCGTCGTGCTTCCGCAATCGCGTCCTAAAATACAAAATGTAATTTGTAGTGTGTAGTCTATCGTCAGGCAACGGAACACAAACTAGTCGAAGAGTGATAGGGGGAATTTGGCGGCTCGCCAAATTCCCTACCGCTACGCTCAGCCCCGAAGAAAGACCGCACAAAATATCTATTATGTAAAACGGAAGCAATCTCAAAGGCATGGTTATATATGCAAAATTGCATATTATGCAGCCGACACAGAGCGCTACGAATTTCTTTGGGGGTTTTGGTTTTAATCGATGAATTCATAAAACAATAAATCGTTACAAAAGCTAATAATTCCTGTTTTCTATCTTTCTATCTAGCTCTTTCGCCCTTACTTTCTCTCTCTCACGCTCTCACTCTCTCTCTCTTTCGCTCTCTCTTTCGCACTCACTCTCTCTCTGTCACTCTTTCTTCCGATTTCCCCTGCCTCTCTACGCAAATTTGAAAATATGGTTCGAAGAAATTCTAGTCTAAAAACCGCATGCAGAAAACTTATGAATTATTAGATTAAAACAAATATTGCTTTATATTAAGTGTTAAATGAATCCAAATCAATTTAAAATCAAACTAATTATATATTTTAGTAAATTATAAGAAGGTGCAGTTTAACTCGGTAATATTTGTGAGAATATGCAGATTAAATGACACGCCAAACGTTTAGGGAAACCAAAAAATATCGAGTTTATGGTTAAAATATTAAATAAAGTCATGTGATTGTAAGGGAAAATCAAAAATATGACAACGAGGTTAAAATCTATTTAAAATTAAAAGTAACTCGGGGTGATTTTAGACAACTTCAAAACTTGGGGAGCATGACCTGGGGGTCCAAAAATACAATTTGGGCTCCATATACCCATAGTAAAAACTTACGCATCGTCACGCCACTTTTGTCTAAAAATCGATTACAATTTTCAAAATTGTAAATTTGATATTTTAAAGGGCGCTGGAAGGCAAAAATTCAATGCGGTATACACTTGGCAAACGTCCAATTTTCCCGGAAAGCCACATAAAATTGGAAAAAACACGTTTTGGAGCCCTTCTGACGCCGGGTGCCTTTCAAAAAAAAAATTGGCTTCTTGCCAAAAACTACCGAGCTGGTTTTGCCTTCACAGTCCCTTTAAAAACCTCACCTCCGCGCGGGTCGCATCTCAAACAGCATCCAAACGACTGTCGTCAGGACGGCGGCCAGGAAAATTAGGGCGGTGAAGAGGAGAATGAGCATTCGAAATCTGGAGAACGATAGCTCTTGCTCATGCTCTAGGGCCGTATCTCTCTCACTCGCTCTCTATTTCTCTCTCCCTCTTTGTATCTCTCTCTCGCTTCCTTGCTAGGGCAAACTAGCAAAGACCCTTTTGGGAATAACAAAAAAATCCACTTACTTGTAGCTCTCACAACACGACTTCTCCTCACATTCCGTCCAGTACCATGTCTCGCAGATATTCACCATGGCTGAAATTTGAAAATGAAGAGAGAGAGAGAGAGAGAGAGAGAGAGAGAGAGAAAAAAGGAGCAAAAGATAGATAGCGAGATATCAAAAAAGCAGCGACTAGCAGCGATTCTTTCGGATAACGAAAAACAGAGATCGTGAAAACTAAATATGGAGACAAAAAGGGGCAGAGAGAGAAACTCCCTGTCACCCTCCCTTTAAAATGCCAAACTCGAGTTGCAAAAATAAATGAGAAATGCGTGCGGCGAGTCTGTTTGTGAAGGTTGAGATGCTTGGTGTGCACGTCCGGTGGCCATGGGGTAGTGCCCTCGAGGGGATTGGAGCAAGAGATAGACAGAGAGAGAGAGAGAGAGAGAGGATAGCACTAGAAAAAGGAACTACCCTCCCGATGGCCGGTCTCTGTCGTCCCTTTAATTGAATCTACGCTCGGCACGACACCCCATGCCCCCATTCTGAAGGCACACACGGAGATGGCCCTCATGGCGGGGCCGCCACTCGTCGTGTGGGCCAGAGGTGTGTGTTGTGGCTGATGGAAGGTCAGATTTGGGCTGGGAAAATGGATGAAAAAACCTTTAGAAATGGTATAAAAAGGAAAATAAAAAAAAAAAAAAAAAAAAATAAACAAGGAAAAATCGAAGGAGAAATGGGAAAAGAAAAAAAATAAAATAAAAAGGAAAAGAAAAAGAAAAAAAAAATATTTTGGAGAAAAAAGGGCATGCCTGCAGAGATCATTTGGGAATGGAAGGGGCAGGCTAGCAGAGATCATTTGGGAATGGAAGGGGCAGGCTAGCAGAGATCATTTGGGAATGGAAGGGGCAGGCTAGCAGAGATCATTTGGGAATGGAAGGGGCAGGCTAGCAGAGATCATTTGGGAATGGAAGGGGCAGGCTAGCAGAGATCATTTGGGAATGGAAGGGCAGGCTAGCAGAGATCATTTGGGAATGGAGGGAATTCCAGAATATAAGGAGCCAGGACTTCCCTAAAAATTTGTTTACCACTCCAGCAAAACCACTTCCCGGAGCATGTTCAAACCACCGAGATTTCGTGTTTTTCGCGTGTGGCCAGCGGGCCCTAAAAAGGGGCCGTAAGCCGGTCTATCCCGCATAGTCGACGATGGGCGGATAACAACCCAATTTCCCATCAAAATTCTCCTCCATCTATATGGCCATGGCCAAATCGAGGGATTTGAGATGCATGGCCGTATGGAAGGGGGTTTGTGGCTGAAGGGCCATATTTTGAGGTCAGCGTCGCGGGACACGCGTCAACCCGTCAGTTTTTATGTCGGGGTTTTCATAAGAGACCAATGAACTGAAGATATCACGAAAATCGAGTGCGCCGTCTGCTAATTTTTGAAAATACATTCAAGTCAAAGCCAACAACCGGCAAAATTTTCTTGACGGTTAGGGCAATCTAGCTATCTATCAATCTATACCATTTCGGAAACAAAAACGCGGATCTGAACAGACGCACCTAAAGGGACAGGCAACTCGCGACTCGACCACTACCATTGATTAGATCTTGACAGATACGTAACCCGAAAAAGGGGACCTTCATCTTCATTTTTCATTTCATCGAAAGAGAAGGAAAAATCATCATTTTTTCGTCTTCAGCAAAAATTTTGGCAAAACCCGACTGCACGAGGTTGCGTGTTTTGGATTATCATGTAGTTGCCAGATTAAGCCAAGGAAAGGGTCGATTTGTACGTTTTCGCATGCCTTCGAATGGCTTACATCGACCAAAAACGACCATAAGTTTTTCCAGCGGAAAATTAAACGCGCGTATGCTCAGGGAAAATCATGTAAAGACACCTTGCTCAGGTGACAACAACTTTGCAGGCCAGCAACGATTATTGCGTAATTTAAGAAAAGCAGGAAAAAGAAAATTAACTGTAGTCCATAACAATCAGGAAAAGCCATAAATTTCCAGAAATCAAGAACACTGCCCAAAATATCATCACAAGCCGACACTGGCGCCGTTTTTCTCGATTTCTCAGCGCCCCGGGGCCACCCATAAACAACGGCTGCCCCGTTCCATCTCGACCCCCTCCTAAGGGTCCCGGCAAGAAAAACAGCTTCTCTCCCCTGGTAAGAGACCCTTTTGGGGGTCTTTTACCATGGGTTGCTCACACCCCCTGAACACCCCCTAGTGTCCTCCATTCCCCCCAAAAGGGGAGCAGATGGCTTCCGGATGGGCCGAACGGAAACGAATTCTGTTTTTCTTGGGGTGGAGCGGAATCGTAAACAATCACATTTTCAGCGGGTGTTCGACGAAAAACATAGAATATACAAATTTGAGTTTACAGGGTATTCCGAGGCCGAAAACTAGGCTAGGCAGAGGACACGCTCGAGAAGTTCAAGCAGTTCGAAAACAATTTTACAAAGAAATGCTGTTTTTTGGGTGGAGTGAATGGTGAAAATTCTCTTTAGTGGATGTTAGGGGAAATATAGATATTTGAATTTAAAGGGATGGGAACCTCTGAATACTGACAGATCCTGTTTAAAAACCGCACGTTCTGATCGGTTCTAACTGGACAGGCTAGAAAAAAAGTATTTTTCATGGCCGATGTTCGCCTACGAACTCAAAACGGCAAGTTCGAGCAGTTCACGCTTGCCTAAACAGCACCAGTGCTTGCAAATCTGGCGGTAAAACAAGGGAATGGGAGTCGCTAACCAGGCAAGCTAGCAAAAAACCTTTAGCCAGCTCCGGCCGATATCTGTAGCAAGGCAAGCTAGCTAACAACCATAACAAAATAAACGGCGAAACTTGAGGCAAAAGTGGGTTAGCAAAAAGGCCGGCGTACCGGTGCTTATTCGCACCTCATCCTGACCCTATCAAATTAGCAAAACAAATGCCAAACAGCTCATATTCTTCAGGGCAGGCTAGCAGCGATTCCTTTCCGCTTTCTTAAACTGCAAAGCCCAGAGGTGCGAACGGTTTCTTTTGGTGACTCCGCCGGAAAAGGGGCTAATGCCGGGGGTTTAGAGTTTCGCGTTCGTGGGAGACGACGCCAATTCGGAAGGAGGAGGAAGCGTCTGGAAGCCCTGGCATGCAAACAAAATGAAAGTTTAAAGGGGCTAGGATGTGTGTGAATTGCGTCTCTGGCTAGGTCTCGACAGCTACGCCACATGCCAAAAACGTGTTTTTCAAAGATTTAAACGCGTTTCCACGTGTTTTTTGGCTATTCTGTAACCGTCTAGACCTATCATACCGAGATAGTAGATTCAGGTGCTTTCTAGAACTTTTAAAGGCACAATCAAGCCAGCTAAGATTTTTGGCTATGGATTCCCCATAGATTTTTCCACGCCGCAGTACGCACGGCCAAGGAGTCAAAAAGGTTACGGCCTCCAAAGAACAGAAATACACGTCAAAACTCCTCCGAAAACATTCAGAATCCGCTGCATTTAGGAGTGGAACGGAGCCGCTCTGGCCCTTCGGGTGGTGCCTCCACTGGCCGTCAATCAGCCCCTCGGCCGGGGGTCAGCAGCAGCGCAAGTTGTTTTTGGAGGCCTTTTCGGCCCTTCCTAGCGTCCATACTAGGGGCCCAAAATGGGACTCAGGGCCCAGAGGGCCCAGGGAGGCGATGGCCAACATACCCCGCCTCAAAAAACAACAGCTGCTGGCCGTGAGCCGTGGTGAGCCGTGTGGCCACTGTGCCCAGAGCCTCGCTACCTCTACTTCCACAATTTGTCTGTTGTTCAAAATGTTTGGGGGAGTTAGGGAGAAGAGAGAGAGAGAGAGAGAGAGAGAGAGAGAGAGAGAGAGAGAGAGAGAGAGGTAGACAGAGAGCCAGAGTGCTGCTTGAAATAGTCAGACAAGGGATTTCTCGAGCCGGCAAGTGAGTGACACGTACAAAAATTGCGTTAACGCACAACATGTTGATCCCAGGGTCTAAGGTCTATTAATGTGGTGTCTAGAGTCGTTGGTAAGTTTAACGTTTTAAAGGTACAAGCAAGGCGGGGGCTATTGATTTCAAAATATACAGCTAGCAAAATATACAGTTAGGAGAAGACGATCACACAACTCAAAAAGAAAGGGAGCAAGCGAGAGCGAGAGTGAGAGAGAGCGAGCGAGAGAGAGAGAGCCTGAAATTTGAGACCTTACTCTTGCTTTGCAGTGAAACCTGTGACAAACAGGGCAAAAACTCGAACCCAAGCCCGAAACCAAGAGATGATAAGTTGTAACCCGTACACTTTCGGGCGGGCATGCTAGCAGAGTTCTTTTGAATGCTAGCCATCTAACGATCTAGGGACAAGCGACGCGTGCGCCTGGATACTCACAACAAGGCGTTGCGGGCCCCGACCTGGCGAAATCGAAATGATAGAAAATCCATAGGAAATAGTGTTAAAAATAGTGCCTTCATTGTTCCTTTAAAATCAAAATTTGGCGATGAAAATCAGGTATAACCAGCGGCGTATGGCGTTAAAATAGCCGGCTATGGAGGTATAGCTAGGAGCTTACTCCACAAATTCCTATTGACGCCTCCTTCTATCTGCTAGCGACGATCCCCCAAATCGAGCGGATGTTTTGCCTAGTGGCCAACCGACGATGCTTAGAACGGCGGTGCCGTCCAACGGCACAGGAAAACGGAAAGCTAATGGGCTCGTCTCCGGGGTACGGCACTGGGTTTTCGATGAGGAGGAGGAGGTGGAGGAGGAAGAGGAAGAGAAGAAGAAGATGGGGTTGTGGGTGGGTTGGGATTAGGTGGGGTTGGGTGAATTGGAGAGGCCGGCTGCTGTTGGCTGGGTGGCTTACCAATCCTGGTTTCCAAAATCGTAGAATGAATTCAGAGCCTAAAATTAGAGCCTTGGGAAGGTATCATTACGCTTTTTTGCAGAAAAAAGTATGAAATGTCAGCAGCTTCCAAAAAATATTTGAGAAGCTAGGGTAAAATTTTGGAGTATATAGGCTTGAACAATTGCTAGTTTGCGAGAAGAGAGAGAGGGAGAGGGGAGAGAGAGAGGCAGAGAGCGAGAGATAGAGTGAGAGAGAAATAAAGAGATAGAAAGAGAGAGAGCGAGAGAGAGAGAGAGAGAGAGAGAGAGAGAGAGAGAGAGAGAGAGAGAGAGAGAGAGAGAGAGAGAGAGAGAGAGAGCGTAGAATCGACACCTGCCAACGACTGGGTCTAGACATTGACGCAACGCGCTAAAAAACGCTGCAAACTCACGTTGATAAGGAATGCGATGCCTGACCTGGTATTAAATCACGGAAAAAATTGTGTTTGCACGTGTTTTTAGAAGACTTCTGTAGCGGTCTCGACCCAGGCCACGCAAGGGTCGATTCTGAACCGTAATGACTTTTTGAACGACACTACTCTTCCAATAATCATTGGGATTCCGCAAAGTTACTTGCTAGTTCGCCCTAGAAACGCATAAGAAGATGCAAAAACTCGCCAGGTCGCTCTGGAAATTTCATGCAGTAAGTTGTCGACACCTAGTGCGTTGCAAATACGATTTTTCGCTTAAAAGTCCCTTTAAGATATCTTTTGCAGAAGCAGAGCTAAGAACCACGGGAAATACAGAAAAGAAAATAAAGCGGAAAAATTCGCTTTATTATAGCATTAGTTAGTTTCAATAAGAACCAAAACCAGGGGAAAGAGGAGGTGCTGCTCAACCAACACCAAACCCCCACCCGCCGGCCATTTCTTCCTGCTTGTCAAGCCGAAAGGAGGGTTGGGGTCTCATTTCTGTCATGCTCCTCGGCTCCTTGGATTTCGGGACCCTTCGCTCGGGCCGGACCCCTTCCCGCCGGCCATTGCGTTGAGCAAGAGCCTGTGGTCAGCTGTGGCGCTCGCCCTCTAGGCCTCGGGCTAGGGGATGCCCGCCTCACCGCGCTGTACTAACAAATGGGGAAAGTGCATGATGGAATGCCCGGCTTGAGCTGCAGACCGATTTATCAAAAATTCGGACCAGCTTGGGCGAGATGCGTAGTTGCAATAGATTTTTAACTTCCAACCTGGCATACAGGTTAGGCCTACGTAAACGTACGCAAATTAGCCTAAACGCCCAACGAAACCTTGCGACGCTTTCAGAAACGTCGACTAGCATGCTTTAAAGGAACGTGCAAGCCCTGAATTCGACACCTTCGATCGAGCGAGAGAGCGAGATAGAGAAAGACAGAGAGTGAGAGGGTGAGACAGAGAAAGACAGAGAAAGCGAGCGAAAGAGAGACGGAGAGAGTGAAAGAGTGAGAGAGGTAGAATGAGCTAGAAAAAGAGTGAGAAAGAGAGAGCGAGGCAGAGACAGAGAGAGGGCGAGAGAGGGCGAGAGAGAGCGAGAGAGAAAGAGAGACTGCGATAGATATTTGCAAAGCCTCCAAGTTCAATTCCACAAATTTCAGCCCTAACCTCCAAAAACCTATTCAAAAACCCGAAACGACATCACATAAAAATTTTTCTGGTGTACTGAAATTGAAGTTGGTGGGTTGAAGGATCTTCCCCCGCATTGATATGGAGGAAGTGAGCGTTTTGGGGGTGGTGGCGGGGTGGCAGGCAGAGGATGGCCCCAGGGTCTCACAAAAAAACTGGCCCGATCCCCCCATTGGAAAAAGGCAAAAGAACCGGAAAGATGGGAGGGCCAAAACGAGTGGCCCAGTCAGAGGCCCAGGGAAAAGCCACTTTTAGGCCCCATGGACTGGGGAGTGGCCAGTTGAAGGAAGAGGGGGTTGGGTCATTTTCTGCTTTCAGAAGTTGAAAAAAGGCAAAATACGAAGTTTGGGGGTGAGCAATTGCTTTTAAAGGGTCCGGCATGGCGGTGCTAGGCTATGGATTTGCTGCAAACTCCCTGTAAGTGATAGCCGTGACGAAAAAACGATCTTAGCAGCCTACCCTGTGACGAAAAAATCATCCGGAAGCGGAAGCCGTGACGAAAAAAATTATTTTAAAAGTCTACCCGTGGCGAAAAAATCATTTTAAAACGATACCCGTGACGAAAAAATTATTTTAGAAGCCTACCCGTGACGAAACAATTATTTTAAAAAGATACCCGTGACGAAAAAATTATTTTAGAAGCCTACCGGTGACGAAAAAATCCTTTTAGAGGCCAACCCGTGACGAAAAAATCATTTTAGAAGCCTACCCGTGACGAAAAAAATCATTTCAGAAGGAAACCCGTGACGAAAAAAATGTTTTAAAACGATAGCCGTGACGAAACAATTATTTTAAAATCCTACCCGTGATGAAAAAGTTACTTAGAAGCGCTAGCCGTGTCGAGAAATTAGTTTAAAATCGTTTTAAAATAATTACTCGAGTTTATTCGATGTTTCCAACCTTTTCAGTCCTTTTAACTGTCCCAAAAACTACAGCAAAAGCTCCAAACAGTCAACTATAGCCGAACGGACACTAGCTGGCGGAGACCCCGTTCGGGAAACGATGCTGATGAGGTTCCGTGGGAACGTCAGGCGCTTCTTCCCCTTCTTCTTCTTCCGCCGCCAGCGTCAGTACAATGTTGTTTTTTGCGGAAACGACTCCGAAAGGGGTGGTTGGCCTCCGGGCCTCACCCTAGAATGGCCATTTTTTGGTGGGCCCGGAAGTTTTTTTGGCTTTTTGGCCCCGAGTTGTGAGAATGGGATGCATTTTAGAGGAGGCCGCCGCCACATCAGGGATGCCCAGTCAGTCAAGATACAGCGGCAATCTCGATAAGTTAAAGATCAGAAAGAGGAGCTCTCTTGGATCAGAAAAACGATAAAGCAACTCGAAGTTTTCCGATGCTAAATCGTGCTATTGTATATGTTTTTCTTTCCTGGTTTTGCTAGGCTGCCAATTTCCTTTAGGAAAATCTAGCCATTTTGCATCAAAGAAAAGAATATATCAGTTATTTGATACTGGCAGAGATCCTTGAGGAACGGGGGATTCCTCTGACACGTATTCAACCGGTTTTTTCCCAGCCATATGCTTTTGAGGGCATACCTGAAGCGCGTGCTCCCCAACTTCGATACACAATGGCAAGCTAGCAGACGCTGTTTAGGAAAATTAAGACGTCGACAGAAGACCCGCCTTTAAGGGGCTCTAAAGAGACCGGGAAGCGCGATAATCTACCACTTGCGTGAACCAGGCCTCGAGAGCTACGCGGCACTCCAAAATACGCACATAAGGCATTCGAATTTATGGTAAACCTGGCAAAGGCGATCCTGTGCGTCGAAAGAGTTATCTTCTTGACGGCTTGCTACGTCGCATAGCTGTCCAGACCTAGCCGCTAGAGGGGTCGATTTCCTCTTCTTCTTGGCTTTTAAAGATACAGGCAACTTGTCGCCGCTATTTTTGCACAATAAATTTTGTCATTGAAATAGGCAACATAGATCTTAACAAAAGCCATGCTGTACGCACCTTCACAAACTTCCTCAAAGTTCACCGCCAAAGTTTTGTACCTATTCTTCGTCCGAACAAAACTTTCGAAGTAGTGTTCTGCAAAACCTGATGCCGTTCTTTGTCTGAATGGTCTTTTTCTTCAATAAGTCCGGGTTCCCCTGGGTTTTTGGTGTCAAATCGGCCAGCCGGGCGACCGAAGAAACATTGATTATGTAGGCGCGGAATCAGCAGCCGGGTTTTTGGTCTCGATTTTTGAAGACGAGGTGGGTGTATAAAAGTCTTACCTAAGAAGTTTGAGACACATCACCCAGCGATGTTCAACCTACTGGTATTCGGAGCGGCTACGGTGAGTTGTCCAAGAATTTGCAGATGCCCAAATATGCCTAACCCTAAACGTAAGTCTAAGCCTAAACCCAACCCTAACCCAAATCCTCAGCTTAGGCCAAATTCTAAGCCTAAGCCTATGCCTATGACCAACCATAGGTCTATAGCTAAGCCTTTGCCATAAGCTTAAGCTAAGCCTAATCTAAGCCTACGAAAGCCTAAGCTAAACCTGAGCCACCGCCCAGGTCTAGGTCTAAGGCAAAGCCTAAGCCTAAGCCTAAGCCTAAGCCGAAGCTCAGCCTAGGCTCAGCCTAAGCTAAGCCTAAGCCTAAACTAAAACTAAGCCCAGGCCTCAGCCTAAGACTAAGCCCGTACCCAAGCCTAAGTCGAAGCCATTGCCTAAGTTTATGCTTAAAAGCCGATGCCTAAGCCTAAGCCTAAGCCCTTGCCTAAGCCTAAGCCAGGCCCAAGCTAAGCCTAAGCTGAGCCTAAGCCAAGCCTAAGTTATGCGAAGATCTAGGCAAGCTAGCAAAAACCCTTGAGGAAAACTTTGAATTTCTCAGCTCGCCCTGGTGAGCGGCCACGCCTGGACCGAGGTGTCGAAGTGTACGCACCATTGCGGAATGTGCGGATACCAGTTCGAGCACTCGTAAGTTTTCGCCTTAGAGTGAGAGCGAGAGCGAGAGAGAGAGAGCAAGAGAGAGAGAGAGAGCAAGAGAGAGAGCAAGAGAGAGCAAGAGAGCGAGAGAGAGGGAGAGTGAGGGAGAGAGAGGGTAAACTAGAAACCCTTTTTTCAGGTCCCAAGGCACCCGCTTCAGCCCGTGTGCCAACCGCCCCTGCAAGGTGGGCCCGGCTTGCTGCCGCGGGTTCCATGTCAAGGAGGTTGATGGGGTGAGTACGAAACGATATCTTTAAAAAGAACTGTCATACCTGCATACTACTCTCATTTTCAGGAAGAATTCTGCGTCGAGAAGAAGCGCGACAAGGACCACCCCAAGAACAGCGCCCACCTCGAGAAGCTGCTCTCGATCCTGAAGCACAAGCACCACTCTGATGACTCGGATGAGCATGAGCACCATCATGGAAAGCACCACAACAAGCACCATGACCAGAGCAGCGAAGAGCAACAGGGACGTCACCATCAGAAGCACCACGGAAAGCCCCGTCATGAGAAGGAGAGCAGCGAGGAGGACAAGGAGCACCACAAGGTCAAGGTGACCGTCAAGGTCCATGGAGAGCGTCACGAGGGAAAGGATAGCAGCGAGGAGCACGTGGGACGTCATCGTCAGAAGCATCATGGAAAGCACCACAACAAGCACCACGAGAAAGACAGCAGCGAGGAGCACGAGGGTCGCCATCACGATAAGCACCATGGAAACCATCACAACAAGGAGCACCATCAGAAGCACCACAACAAACATCACGATGAGAGCAGCGAGGAGCACGAGGGACGTCATCACGACAAACACCACCAGAAGCACCACGACAAAAATGGGGTCCAGGCCCGTCACCAGGAAAAGCACCACGATGAGAGCAGCGAGGAGCATGAGGGACGTCACCGTGATAAGCACCATGGAAAGCACCACAACAAGGAGCATCACCAGGGACGTCACCACGACAAGGACAGCAGCGAGGAGCATGAGGCACGCCATCATGATAAGCATCACCAGAAACACCATGGCAAGCACCACAACAAGAATCACAACAAGGACAGCAGCGAGGAGCATGAGGGCCGTCACCATGATAAGCACCATGATAAGCATCATGGAAAACACCATCAGAAGGATAGCAGTGAGGAGAAGCAGCACGAGCGCCACCAGAATCGCCACGCGCGCAACCAGCGCAAGCGTGACCACAGTGACGAGCGTCATTAGCTTAATTGGGTGGTTAATAAAAACAAAGTATGCAACAATTTGGTCGTTAATAGGACACTACAGTACACGTCGTGCTACGCAATAAAATGTACATTTTAATATGGTTCTGGTACAGAGTTTTGAGGATGTAGAACAGTGAGCCGCTGGCACCTGAGCTCACTTCGTAAACAGCGATACATGTCAGATAACCCATTCGATAGAGCTTCAAACTCTCAACAAATCGAGAGAACCGCGGTCTTTGCGGTGGCTGTAATCGATGTCGGGACATCATTGATGTTCTTTCCCGCCAAAAAAAAAACAGAACCTGCGCGCACGCGCTATCAAACCTCTCCTGGCGCCTATTAATGCACTGTGATGTACTGATAATGGCTGTTTTGCCCCAACGTCAGCTTCCAAAATCACTTCGCGACGCCATGCCGGCGATACGGTGGCGTGGCGGTCCTGTTGCGGCTGCGGTTTCGGCTGCGGTTTCGACCGGGTTACAGTCGCGTCAAAAGACACACCAGGCTCTGTGCATGTAGCCACTTCCACCCAGAATTTGGCTGTTCTGTGGTGAACAACAGTTTTTTTAGAGTTTTGCGATCAATTATGAAACCAACGATGTGTGATAGTGCTTTGTTATAACAAAAATACCTTTATTGATACGGGGAAAAACGTTCGCAAGGGTCAAATAAATACCTTTTGTTCAAAAACGGCCACTACAAAATACACAACACACGGTTTGACAGAGGAGCCAAAAAATCAGCAGTATCACAAAATTGGTAGGGCAAAAATTAAAAGGAAAATCGGACATGGTATCACAAGCCGGAAGATGATTCTGGAGATGCTGTCACTGGGGTCATTTTTTGAAATCGAGAAATTATGGCAAGGATGGCAAAAATAAGTATAAAAAATGCAAGGGTGCGGTAGGCCTTAAACTACATTTTTATAAGACACAGAAACGCAGAAAAATGTAGATGATCTTATTCGCAAGCCAGCTTTCCGTGGAAGGACGTCATGGCAATCCCAAAGGCTTGAAGCGCGGAGAGGGGGTACCGGAAATCCATGGTGAACTGCTCGTCGTTGACGCGCCCGAATTGCATGACGATGTAGTCGGCTAAATTGGAGATATTGGCCTTTTCAAGGACCAGAAAGCGAGAGAATCGACCCTTTTATCGACTAGGGCTGGACAGCAACCCTCACGCTGGGAAGCGGAGGAAAAAAATCGAAAAAGCGACGTCTGCGCGCGTCAAATGGAGTGTCGCGTAACTGTCTAGACCTAACCGAAGCAAGGGGTTGATTCACAAGGTTTTACATAAAAAAAACTTACGATCAATGTCATGGACGATTTGGAAGTTCTTGACTGACGCCTGAGTGACGCGACCGTGGAAATTTAGGACGTAGGATTGCGTATCTGAACGAAGCGATAAAGAGAGAGAGAGAGAAAGAGAGAGAGAGAGTGAGAGAGAGCGAGCGAGAGATAGAGAGAGAGCGACACCGACCTTCATTCCAAACCGGAGCTTTGTTCTGTAGAACGCATAGGTCGTCCATGCGACGTAGGCGGTATCGTTCCATGATTCCGTCACGATCCTGAAAAAGTAAAGTTTCTTTGAAGCTTGTTGTCTCTCTCTCTCTATCTCTCTCTATCTTTTTCTCTCTCTCTTCTTTGAACTCACCGAAGTCGGCTTGATCTGCTTCCGGATGTATCGCTCGCCGTCGAGCATCCCAGGGATGATCACCGACATCTTGCGCGGTCCCTTGAAGCCAAGCACGTTGGTTTCCTGCAAAATGTGGTTTGTTTCCCCCGTCTCTCTCACTCTCTCTCGCTCTCTCTCTCTCTCTATCACTCCCGCTCTCTCTCTCTATCCCTCTCTCAAACTTTGCTCCCCCGATCTTTAACCCTTAACCCACTTTCGACATTTTTTTATTGTTTCAAATATCATTTTGGAAGTTGAGAACAGAGCAAAAATTACTTATGTAGTCGCAAAATCAAAGACCCGCCCGCGAAGCCGATGCATATTCAATTACGCTATAAAAGCCGGATCGAAGCTCGGGAAGACACGATCCTGTCTGGCGACGGCCACCACCATGCCCAGGATGATACTGGGACTGTTGTTATTTGGCGGGGTTACGGTGGGTCGTTCATTTTTTTTAGAGGGCCGTACCAGTTGTGCTTCGATCCAAATGGGGTTGGGAGGCTAGCAAAAATTATTGAGTAAACTCGGCGAAAAGCTAGGTTTAAATAAGCCATGGACTAACAAGCTAGCAGAGATTCTTTGGGAATCGGCTCGGATTAGGAAGTTATAAATAGCGATGACGTGCTAGCAGAGGTTTTTTAGGAAACCAGTAGGACTTTAGGAGTGAATTCTAGCAGAGATTATTTGGGGAATAAGAGTGGAAAGACAAACTGGTATGACGGTTGCGCAGCCGCTACGCTCCTGCGCACCCCGCGAAAAGTACCCGCGAAGCACGGGCGACGTGCCCGCAATGCACCCACGAAGGACCCGCGCATCGTTCTCTATAAGAAGAATAGCCCGCGAAGAATCGACAATTCACTAGCGAAGCACCCACGAACCCCACGAAGCACCTGCGAAGCCCCGCGAAAGCCCCGCGAACCCCCGGCGAGCGCCGCGCGTACCCCGCGAATCCCCGCGAAGTACCCGAACGCCTGCGAAGCACCCACGATGCACCCTCAAAGATCCTGCTACGTAGCATGAAAAATCTCCATTTCAGCTCGCCCAGCTCCTTCCACCCAAGCTCCCCACCGACGATCTGATTGATCTACCCGACTCCATCGAACTACACCGCGAGCGACTTTCAAAGCAGAATTTGAGGGCTCCTCACAACTCGGAACGAAATCGGCACACTCGCCCTGGTGGCCTCGAATTGATGAATGGCCAGAAGCACCATGTCGGGTCGGACGAGTCGGACTCAGAGGAATTCGCACCTCGACATTCTGGCCATCCCGGAGCCAGCCGCAACCACAGACTCGACGTCCTGATCAGCGTCTTCGGAGTCGGTGGAGGAGCCTCGGCTGAGGAGCTTGACCACGGCAATGATCCACTGCTGGAGCGTCTTCAGGGGCGACCGTGGGGACAGCCGAAGAATGGAGGACGTCGTCCTAAAGTTCAGCACCACGAAAACGCTCATGAGACCAACTTTGAGGATGAGCGATTGGAGAGCGAGCCGGGACATACTCAACAGGTACGACGAGTTCGAGTTCAGGAGTAGAGGAGGGGCGTGGCTTTGGCAAGTAAAATAGGGTCAGCGACACGCCATGTAACCCGCAACACACGCAAACGCAAGCCGCGACGCAGACAGGTGACGCGTACCACAACGCGAGCCGCGACGCGTCTATGTCGTCGTGCTTTACTGTAACAACACGAAAAGACGCACCATGTCGAATTCCGGAAAGCCATTTCAGAGACCCCGCCAACACGGTACCGGAACCTTCCACCCACACCCGGCGATGGGCCCAGTCGGAAGAGGACGACGTCGCCCACTTGGCCCGGTCGGCGGCAGTAGCAAGATGGTCGAGATGGGACCGCATTTCTCGGACTTTAGCCCTCCAATTCTTGTGCCAGATCACCCGGAAGTTGATCCGGCACCATGGCCAATGGAGCCGCAGCGCCGCCAAATTCTTCGAACTCCCGCAAACGATCATGATCTGAGCCTTCAGGTTGGAGAGAAACGAATGCCCGCCAAGCATAACGCACCCGGGCTGGAGACCATCGTCAGTGAGTTTTGTTGGGGTGGAAAGGGGCTGGCAATATTTTTTTCGCAGATCTTTCCTCAGACTCCTAGGAGCTAGATAAACCATATTCATATAGTTTCTGGAGGGCTGCGTAGTTGTCTAGATCTAATCTATGAGCGTGTCGAAATCTCGTGCTTACCCGTTTCTTGAAGTCGTTTGGGATGTAAAACCATTGCAACTCGTAAAAACTCGACTTTTCAGAATTTTGCACGGTTAGGGAAGGTCCAAAATTGACATCTCCCCCTGGATTAGTTCTAGGCAACTACGCAAATTTTATTTGAGTAGCAATTGCGGTGGAAAAAACTGGTGCAGAGGCGCTTTGTTGGGCGTACCTAGTCGATCTAGGCAGTCGATTACTGCGCTATATAGTCTGTATAACTTCATCTTAAGGCTCCGAAGAGTTCCCTGAAATCCCCCGGGCCAAGCGACAAGTCAGCGATGAACCGGATGAGGGAGAAGAGGAGGACGACACCCAAGAAGTCCTTGAGCGCTCCAATAAGCTTAGGCCGCTTCGGGTACCGCTTCACAGGGGGCCGATCCAGACGGTGAAACCACCTTTCGAGCCCATGCCGACGATCTTGTTGCCATCAGTCCAGGTAGGTTTTTCGGTTTCTCTCTTTCTCTCTCTCTCTCTCTCTCTCTCTCTCTCTCCCTTCCTCACTAGCAAAAAAAACCTAGATTCAGAAGCACGACGACCACAAGCTGCCCCTGATTGGCCAAAATCCACTTCCGCATGCCAAATCATCTCCGAAGCCTGCCACAACAACCCAATATCCACCAGTCCATGTCCAGCTCAAGCCAGGACAGCAGATAGAAATGGTCGACGAGCCGTTGTCGATTAGTCCCGAAGACGTGGTGCGTGTTTCTCTCCCCCTCTCTCTTTCTCTCTCTCTCTCTCTCTGACGCTCTCTCTCTCTTTCTCTCGTTCGCTCTCTCTCTCTCTCTCTCTTCTCTCTCTCTCTCTCTGTCTCTCTCTCTCTCTCTCCTGATTCCTAATGTTTTCAGAAAAAACCCCACCATCCCCAAGGAAAACCCGACCACAAGCCGATCACGCGCGGTGGATTCCAGCCTGCCAGCCAAATTGAAAAGCCACAAATCAGACTTCCAAATGACAAACGTGAGTCGTCTTGGAGTCCTCAAGAATATCTGCTGGCTCGCCAGGCTTAGTCTGCTACCGTAAGACGGACGGTTCCTAAAGGGGATCTGCTAGCTCGCCAGACTTACAAAGTCCCCGAAGCATCTTTGCTAGCTTGCCAGGCGTATGAGGCTACCGTAGCATCGACTGCCCCTAAAGTAGACATATTTGCCAGCTGCATATAGTTAACTGGATACCGAAGCACGGCGGATTCCTAAAAGAGCTCTGCTAGCCCCCCAGTTCAGCGCTCTTCAAGCAGTGGAGCGCCTGGAAAGACGCGGGGAGCTGCACAGCCAAGTGCGGAATGTGTGGCTGGAAGCGACAAGAGCGGGAGTGTCCTCATAGCATTTTCTGCGAGTAAGTCCTGCTGGCACTATCCTTTAAAAGCTCAGAAATGGGCTGGAATGTGCGAGGATCGACCCCTTGCATCGGCTAGGGTTAGACCACTAAATCTAGATAAAACACCAGAAAAGAGCATTACAACTTACCTCAAACGCCCATGTATACGAGCTACAAAAAAGCAATTATCATACGTAATTTGGAACGTAGGGTCGCGGTCGAGACCTAGTGAATGGAAGGGGTCGATTCTTTAAATATTTTACTATTTTAAAGAACCATTAAAGGAAAAATATATATTTTAGAGGACCTAAGCACCGGTATGTCCCTTGCGGCTCCAACGTCTGCGACGAGGACACCCCGATCGGAGGGCTGAACGGATGCTGTACCGGCTTCAGACCGATGATGGTTGAGGAGGAGGTGGGATCGCTGATCGGCCCGGATACCATGAATCCGAAGTTCAAAATGCCAAAAGCCAGAATGCCGACAAAGAAAATTCCGGCACCTAAAAGGGTTAGACTACAACTACAACACTAGGCCTGTCACCCGAGATATTTGCGTCGGTATTTTGGTCGTCGGCATCTTGCAGAATTTTGGGGTTTTTTCGCAAATCAAATTGTCAAATTCTACACAGGAACCCTTCCGGAACCCGAAGTCGCACCTCGAAATCGAAATTGAGATCGAGATTCGCCGTAGGAAGCACCAAGTCCTGCGATGTGGCGCCATCAACCAAACTGAGCATCAGGAGTATGAAGGGAAACAGGTCATTCCCTCTCTCTCTCTCTCTCTCTCTCTCTCTCTATCTCTCTCTCTCTGTATCGCTATTTCGTACGTTTTCCAGCACAAAGTCGGCTTGCAAAAGCGGCCAACAGGTTGGGAGAGCAACAGCCACGAGAGCTCTTCCTCCGAAGAAGAACGCGGGCATCGTCAGCCTCACGTAAGTCGGAAGAAGCTGCACTCCACTTTCACTGCACTTTTCGCACGCTCTCACCCACTCTCTCTCTCCCTCTCTCTCTGTTTCTTTCTCTCTTTCTTATTCTCACTCTCTCTCCCTTTCTCTCTCTCGCTCTCTCTCTCGTCCCCTCGTCTCGAAAGACCTAGACAAAATTCAGAAACACCACGACTATGGGGTGACTCTGATTGCGCGAAGACCGCATCCGAGGTCCAAGCCAACCTCCGAGCCAGCTCCTATCCGATGGCGACCAGTACATGGTCAAGGAAAGCCAGGAGTACATGAAGCTGTCGACGAGCCAATATCGATTAGCCCCCCGGAAGTAGGTTTCTTTCTTCCTCCCCCTCTCTCTCTCTCGCTCTCTCTCTATCCCTCTCTCTCTCTGTCGCTCTCTCCAACGGTAATTTTTCAGAAACATGATCGACACCACCACGTCCCGCCGATGAGACATACCAATCCGAACATCGACAATGCCGTGAGGTTTCCGGAACGGCCCAGTCGTCATCATGACCGAACACCTAACCGGAAGCGTAGGAAGTGTAGAAAGAACAACCAGGGATACAAAAAGAGCCGGAAGCAACTAAAAAACCTCTTCAAGGTGTCCGGGATGCCGTTGACAAAAATTGATGAGGTGAGGAGCAAGAGTGAGAGAGAGAGAGAGCTAGTGAGTGAAAGTGAGGCAGAGAGAGCGGGGAAAAGAGAGAGAGAGTGAGAGAGAGAGAGAGAGAGAGAGAGAGAGAGAGAGATGAACTCCATTTCAGGTCCTCCGCATCGAGGTCCCGAAGACCCTGACCCTAGAACGAGAAATTCATGAGGTCCACGGCGCTGGCCGCACTCTACTTGGAATCCAGAAACAGAATTTGAAGCTGCACAACAACCACCATCTTCGATCACTCCACCCCGATGAGCCGGAGGAGTTCGAGGTCTATGGGGATTCGCAGAACTTGATCAACCGGAACTACAAGATGGGGCCAGTCGGTGGGTTCGGCGCGCTCCGGTCCCTTTAAAGAGACTAGGAAGCGCGAAAATCGACCATTTCCATGAACTAGGCGAAGACAACTGCGCGAAAATACAAGAGCCGCAATTCAATCTGCGCCGCAAACCGTAGTGCCTGCCCTTGCCGCAAAATTCAGGAACGCTTGCACTTGTTTTAGCGCGTCACTTAGCTGTCTAGACCCAGCTGATCTTGGAGGTCGATTTTCGGGATTCCCAGTCGTTTTAAAGAGAAAGTGAGCATATTATAGCTATTAATGCACAGTCATATTAAGGAGGAGCGGAATTCGATGATCACCCAATCTACGGACAACAGAAAGAAAAGAAGCGAGAGTCGCAGCGTGTTAGCTTGGAAGACTTTGAAATTGAGGATAATGATGACGAGGAGGAGGACTGTGATATTGAGGACGATTTCGATACCTCAGGTGAGAGAGAGAGAGAGAGTTGACAAAAAGAGAGAAAGTGAGAGAGAGACAGAGAGAGAGAGAGAGAGGGAGAGAGAGAGAGAGAGAGAGAGAGAGAGAGAGATAACTAAACAGCCTGCTTTAGTCGAGGACAGCAGCGAGTTCGCAAAAGGCGCTTGGTCCAACTACCTGAGTAAGTTTAAAAGCAATTTTCCAGGCTTAGCTACCAAAATTAAAGTTTGTAAAGTTATCCTAATTTCGAATTAATGTTAATTGGTAGAGTATTGGATTTTAGGGCCCGGGCGTCCCGCCAGGCCTCCTCTGCGCGATTACTACGACGGTAAGAGAAAATAAATTTGCTATGATATCCGTGACAACTGAAACAGAAATGTGGCAGGCTAGCAGAGATCATTTGGGAATGGAAAGGGGCAGGTCAGCAGAGATTATTTGGGAATGGAAGGGGCAGGCTAGCAGAGATCATTTGGGAATGGAAGGGACAGGCTAGCAGAGATCATTTGGGAATGGAAGGGGCAGGCTAGCAGAGATCATTTGGGAATGGAAGGGGCAGGCTAGCAGAGATCATTTGGGAATGGAAGGGGCAGGCTAGCAGAGACCATTTGGGAGTGGAAGGGACAGGCTAGCAGAGACCATTTGGGAGTGGAAGGGACAGGCTAGCAGAGACCATTTGGGAGTGGAAGGGACAGGCTAGCAGAGACCATTTGGGAGTGGAAGGGACAGGCTAGCAGAGACCATTTGGGAGTGGAAGGGACAGGCTAGCAGAGACCATTTGGGAGTGGAAGGGACAGGCTAGCAGAGATGATTTGGGAATGGAATCGGATTTATATGTCACGTGGAATCAATTAGCTTTGTTTTAGTACCGCTCACGCACAGCACTGGGCAAAACAGACGTATGATAAAGATCCTAAAAAATAGCTTATTTTAGAGCCGAGATCCTCGAATTTCCAACCCGACTACGACGACCTGGATGATAAGAATTTCGAGGGGAAGTTGTGCGCTGGCAAGAAACACAGCGTTAGCGGATGCTAATATGTCGGGGATAAATATTTATATATTTTTTTTTTTTTGCAATTTTCAAGATGAAATTTACGCGCATAACGGTATGGGCAGCAGTAGGAAAGAGAGTAGCCATGATTGAGGGTCTATATTTAATTAGCTATTTTAGCATACCCTGCTAGCGAGCCAAACGAATTGTTTCCGAAATTTACCTGAAAATAAAGCATGCTCTTATAGTATCTTGTGGATAATATAATAAGGCCAATATAATTTTATGAAAACATAGGAAAAGCAGAAAAGGATCCAAAATTTAAGCAGAGAGAAGCGAGTCGGTGGTGTAATGTCAACTTTACAAAAAGTTGCAAAGGTAAGTATTAACGCTTTTGAGCTTAAATCCACGGAATATGAATCGTTTGATTCTTTTACTTGATTATATTACTAATCAATTACGCTATTTAAAGGCCTCTGGGACGCTTGGCTACTCAGCCGCAGGGGTTGCGGCTGACTGCAGAGCGCGGACACCGTAGCGGCTTATATAGGAGCACCGCGTGGCGAAAGCGGGTGCTCGGGCAGCTCATCCCTCTCCGCCGTCCCTCCCATTTCGTGAGCGTGGTATAGTGGATAGCGCGCTGGGCTGTCGTTCTCACGGCACGGGTTCGACCCCGCCCGGCGCAAATGTTTTTTGCTTTTTCTGCGAAAGCCATCGTTCTAGAGGCCTTTAAGATTCATCAAAGAACTTACATAAATAACCATAGCCAGCTCCTCACGCACGGTCTCAGTTGCTTGACCCTTTTTCGGGTTCTTGCCATTGTCGTAGAGGGTGAACATCGTTCCCAGCGCGTTCGAGCTAGAGACGGGGTTTTGATGATAGCGAGCGAACGAGATAGAAAGCGAGAGTGATAGAGAGAGAGAGAGAGAGAGAGAGAGAGAGAGAGCGAGAGCAATAGTAAAAAAGGCTGTTACTTACCGAACCTTCCCAATAAAAGCATCGCCTTCCCGGCTCAAATCCGTCGGATCGGTCGAAATCAAATAATTGGCAGTGGTGCTCTTTTTTCGTTTTCGAGCCGCAAGCAGAAAGATCTAAAAATCCGAACTTAAAGGGACTAGAAAGCGCAACATTCTACCCCCTTGGTCCACTAGATTTAGACAGATACGCAGCGCGCCGAAAACGCTTGACATCGCTGTGGAGTTTCACGAAATTCCCGTCCCGAGCTGATAAAAGTGCTTTTGATACTACGGATGAGTGCGTTTGTCCTAGTGGATTATAGGGGTCCTAGTGGATTGACCTGGTGGATTGTAGGGGTCGAATTACGAGCTTCCGTGTACCTTCAACACGATGAAGAAATTTACTTACCTTCTTCTTGTCCTCTTTCTCCAGGTGCAGGTAGTACGTAGGGTACATGCCTCTGTCCATTCCCTTCTTATCCCTGGTGATTGAGCACTTGTAGGTGGTGTTGCGGAGTGCGGGTCGGAGCGCGAACCTGAAGCGCTTTGGTGGGAGAAAGAGAAGAGATAGAGCTAGAGAGAGAGCGAGAGATAGAGAGAGCGTGAGAGAGAGCGAGAGAGCGAGGTAGAGAGATCAGCGTACTTGTCCAGGTCGTTGGCAATCTCCTCATAGTTCGGTTGCTCGTTGGAGGGCAGGACGTGTTCTTCGAGCTCTTCTTTCTCCTGAAATTTGTAAAGTATATTTAAAGAGAGAGAGAGCGAGAGAGAGAGAGAGAGAGAGAGAGAGAGAGAGAGAGAGAGAGGGAGAGAGCGAGCGAGACAGAGCAAGAGCGTGTTAAAGAGTGAGCCAAAGAGAGCGTGAGAGTGAGAGTGAATGTAAGCTCGAGAGAGAAAGCGAGAGCGAGAAGGAGAGCGCGAAAGATAGATAGAGAGAGGGAGATGGATACATAGAGAGTAAGAGCTAGTGAGAGAGAGCGAGAGAGCGGGGGAGCGAGAGAGAGACAAAGAGACCTACCCTCCACGGCTCCACCCCAACAGCTTCCTCATCGCTCTTATTTCCCATCGAATTGGTGGACACTGAAAAATGAGCCATTTTTGCGAATCAGTGTGTGAAGCCTTGAAAAAACTCCCCAGAAGCGTAAGACAGGTGACAAAACCCCCCTAACAATCACCTGACTGTGGCATGCGACCATAGACGCTGTCCGGTTTCCCGGGGATCGGAGCGCTGGGCCGGGGCATATTTCGGAGGTGCATCTGGTT